TGCTATTGTTTGGGTTTAGGGAAGGGGGAGAGAGGGTGGATCGGTTAGTGGGTCAGTCAGCCGACAGCGGCCTCTGGTGGATTTATGCGAGAAGAGCAGGCATGCAATATACTCGAGAGAGAAATTTGAGAAAATGCGTACACAGACGTCTCTGGTGAATTCACAAAAACAAAAACTGCAAAAAAACATAGCTCCTGGGATGTATTTTGCTCCCTCCAGAAATGTATATAGGGGTACGTAATCAGAATGAGCCTGAGTTGTCTAATTTAGAGTGCACCAAAAAAGAACCATGTGCAGATCAACATGTTCCCTAACGTTCACTGCTCTCTACCCTGTGCACACGGGACACTGTTTGCAGTGTCGTCATATGAAACTCATTACAGAAGTGTGAAGGGATGTTTAACTGCAATCATCAAATTTGCATGCAAGTCATGTCTTGCACGGTTGTATTCCCTTTGAATTGAACACTTCATTTGAACTGGAATCATGGCAGATAATCCTGTGATGTCCACTTCACAGGGCACTTATGGTCGAATGGAACAAACCTCTGAAGCGATAAGAGAAACAAAGAAAATGTGCAGAGCTGTGGTACGCCAAGACCAGGTTTGAGAACCGCTGGATTAGAGTGCTGTCAATTACACAGCTCAAAAATACGTGAAGAGATTTTGCCCATCAGCACCATTTAAAATAGAAAATGTTACATTTATTATTTTTGCTTGCTGTTTCGAAGATAAAGACACAATCGCTTTCCAAATAAATGGATGCAAAAATTTTGAATTATAATAATCTTAGAGTTCTGAAAGTTGGAATTTTAAGATTTTTTCGTTTGTGATGTACAAGATGTTCAAGAAGTAAAATTTTTCATTTTCCTTCGGCTTAGTACCGCCAACTGTTCCGGCAGATCTTTTACGCAGCGGATGCCCTTCCAGCCGCAACCCAATATTGGGAGACACCCATACACTCCCACATTCATAAACACTTATGCACAAGGGCCAATTTAGTTTATTCAATTCACCTATAGCACATGTCTTTGGGCAGTGGGGAAAACAGGAGCACCCGGTGGAATCCTATGCCAACACGGGGAGAACATGCAAACTCCACTAAGCCACCCCATATGACAATATGGCTATTAAACATTAAAAAAATGACTTTTCCCATGGGGCCCCCTTTTCTGGTTCCTGATCCCCCCTGTGCCACCTTATTAAATAAATCTGTTGTAGCTGTGAAATAGCTGAAATCATTTGGCGTAGGGATATGGAACTGTAATGCATTTAAGACCCTCCTGGAACTACTTTATCAATGCGGCTCCCTGAAAATAATTGGATAGCTTTGAATGTTCATCAGCCAATTAGAATCAAGCATTCAACAGCCTCCTAGTAGAACTTCAAATACTTCATCTGAACAATGTGGCAACTGTAGTTTAAACACCACTTCATGCTGTGCCGTTCAACAACCAGTCGTCAAACATTCCTTAACAAGTGAGACCTTATTAATACGCCTTCCTATTAACTTTAATCATTAAAATTATACAATCTTGAATTATCCTGTGATTAAGAGAGTACGTGAAAGAGCTCCTAATATAATGCGACACGGTGGCCTGAAATGGGCTGGTGATGGCGCAGCTCATTTGCACACTAATGCACTTCGAGCACAAGCACACATGCTCTCTTATGAATTGAAATGAAACAGCTGAGGTGACCTCCGCTAAATTATGCTCGTCTCAGGGGAAGAACTATACGTGAATCGTGTACCACCGCCAGACAGATGAGCTTGAAAATATGAAAGACTCAAAGATGAACGCATGTGTTAGCACATACTCCAGCTATCCAGCTTTTCAAATTAGGTGTTGTACGTCCAGATTGGGGAAATTTCATTTGAGAGAACTGAAACAAATAAATAATAAAGCTAAACAACAGACGATCAGTGTTAGGTAAGTTACTTAAGAAAGTAATTAATTACTTATACAAGCTTAAATGCTTTTCTAATTACTGTCTAAATATTACTCAATAAGGGATTGAATTACTTAACTCAATACTACTTAAATCTCAGTGAATAGACAATAGAAGTTAAACTTTTAATTCTTTAAATATGAGTCAAGCATGGCCTTTAGCTTTATAAAAAACATTATTTAAGCATTTTAATAGTAAACAACATTCTGGACTCTGGAGTTAACAAACAGAATTATTCTGCAAAAAGAAAAGAGAGAAAGCTAGTTATTAAATCATTCATTCATTTTCTTTTCGGCTTAGTCCCTTATTTATATTAATCTGGGGTTGCCACAGCGGAATGCACCACCAACTTAGTGATGTTTTGTAAACAAATTTCGGGAGGAGCATGCGCAGAAGTTTCAGTATCGAATACGTCATTGACAATCATTCCATTATCAAATCAGTTCTTGAACAAACCCCTATATATACCAAAGCTGTCTTACCTGCAGCATCTCATGACTTTAGCATCCCTCCACCACCCCGTCACCTCAACTCTTGCATTGAATTCCTGGGGGAGCGTTCTGGGGCCGGGCTAGACACTTCGCTCGAATACCAATTCCTCTTTGTTTCCTGATAAGGGGAATAACTCGAGTTGGGGTGTCTCCTCGAGCTCAGAGCCCTCCCCCCGGACAGCACGCCAAATATGCTTTATACTTAAACTAATGCAAGTTTGAACTCGTGAATCCAGCATATGTTTTACGCAGCAGCCCTTCCAACTGCAACCCATAACTGGCAAACATCCATTCACACTCATACACTACGGACAATTTAGCCTACCCAATAGATCGCTGATTTTAATAATGAACATAACGTTATGCTTGCTATTTCAATGTGTTATTGGTATCATAAGCATATCTGTGGCCAAATCCCTTTTGAGTTCACTGTGTTTTGTTTCTCCAGATTATTTTCTCTTTGTTTTCCCTACCATAATATTTAACACATCTGGTATTTTATTTTTTTGTGGGTATTCATTGTTTGTTTGACTTTGTGCTTGATTTTAATAATGAAAATAACGTTATGCTTGCTATGTTAACGTGTTATTAGTATCATAAGCATATCTGTGTACAAAACTCTTTTGAGTTCACTGTGTTTTGCAGATTATTTTCTCATTCATTTCCCTACCGTACTAGTTAACAAATCTTTTTTCGAATTTTTTGTGGGTTATTTATGGTCTGTTTGACTTTGTGCTTGATTTTTATAATGAACACAACATTATTTATGCTATTTTAATGTGATTTTAGAATCATAAGCATATCTGTGGCCAAAATCCTCTTGAGTTCACTGTGTTTGGTTTCTCCAGATTATTTTCTCTTTCTTTTCCCTAAAGTGGCGTAATATCTCGTTTAGATATTTTTTGTGGTTCTTCATGGTATGTTTAACTTTGTGCTTGATTTTCATATTAAACGTTGAAGAACAACAAGGGGGTTATAATCTGAGAGAAGAACTAAATTTTAGGAGGTTGAAAATAAGAACAACTTTAAAAAGTTTGTGTATGTCTGTCTGTGGTTTAAAACTATGGAACAGTCTAGATCAGACTCTAAAACAACGTCAGGATATTAATCAATAAAAAAAAACTCTATAAATATATATAAATAAAGGAATATTATGAAGAAGGTGATTGAAAAAGGATAACGAGAAAGGCATAATGAAATTTTAGTTAATGGCTATTTGCAGTACTATGTTGTTGTTGTTGTTTTTTTCTTTTTTCTATTTGCAGTACTATGTTGTTGTTGTTTTTTTGTTTTGTTTTTTTTCTATTTGCAGTACTATGTTGTTGTTGTTTTTTTGTTTTGTTTTTTTTCTATTTGCAGTACTATGTTGTTGTTGTTTTTTATGTTTTGTTTTTTTCTATTTGCAGTACTATGTTGTTGTTGTTGTTTTTTTCTTTTTTCTATTTGCAGTACTATGTTGTTGTTGTTTTTTTGTTTTGTTTTTTTCTATTTGCAGTACTATGTTGTTGTTGTTGTTTTTTTCTTTTTTCTATTTGCAGTACTATGTTGTTGTTGTTTTTTTGTTTTGTTTTTTTTCTATTTGCAGTACTATGTTGTTGTTGTTGTTTTGTTTTTTTTCTATTTGCAGTACTATGTTTTTTTTTTGTTTTTTTTTTCTTCTTTGGGTCTATGTCACAAAATAAAAAGGTACAAATAGAATCAAACATATTATTTGTCAAAGATGCCAAAAGGATAAAATATTTTTCATGTAAAAATAAGAGATAAGTAAAAGAAAAAATAAGTTAAAGTAATAAACGAATGATGCATGTAGTAATGGGGTGGGAGAAAAATAAGCTTATGCTTCAGCCCGCTCCATTTTCGACCATGTTTAAATGTATTTTTTTTGTTAATGATATTTTATGTATGATGTTTTTGTTCGAAAATAAATAAAACAAATCAAATCAAATAAAAAATAACGTTATGCTTGCTATTACGTTATGCTTGCTTGCGGTTATTGTAACATCATATTAGTATAGTTTTTCATCATATTAGTGTTTTTCCAACATTACCGTAATATTTAACACAACCGGTTTTGAATTTTTTGTGGGTATTCATTGTATGTTTGACTTTGTGCTTGATTTTAATAATGAAAATAACGTTATGCTTGCTATTTTAACGTGTAATTAGTATCATAAGCATATCTGTGGCAAAAATCTTTTTTGAGTTCACTGTGTTTTGCTTTTCGAAATGATTTTCTCTTTGATTTTCCAACCGAAATATTGTATATTTTTGACATTTTTGAGGTTATTCGTGGTCTTTTGATAGTAATTAGTAATTAATTCTACTTTCAGACTTTCAATGTCTGGAATAGAGCCTCTGATATTCCATGATATCCCCTGGAAACCCTGCACAAAATAAACCAGCTCTGTAAAAAACCCTTTTTGTAATAGCAACATGCAGTCAAACAAATGATCTGGCAATGCTGTTCTCTTTAAATGTGGAAACTGTGTGACATTCAGGTGCCTGTGGATCTATTATTCATGAGGTGTGAGTATTGAGGCTTTGTAAACAACAGGCTGACCTTCTGTGACCAGTTTAAAGTCCTAATGGACCACCGGTGGCCTCACAACAGCCGCAGCAGCTCAAAAACCCATCCATGCACAGGTTGCCTGGAAACAAAAAGCATAATTAAATGTGATTATCATCCTCTTCACAATGAATCTGAAGTATTTAAGTGTTCTGCTTGTTATTGTTTTTTTCTGAGCTGTAAAAATCCAACATTCATCAAAGACGGAGGGCAGGAAGGGGGAAAACAGGCAGCCGAGTGACAGTGAACTCTAGTGGCGGGATGTAAAATATGACTGGCTTATTAAATGAGTGAGTGAATGATCAATTTAAATAATTATGTAATTAGAAAATGTATATTTAGATAAAGTAAAAAATATATAAATAAAAAAAACTGTTAAACTGTGAATTTATCAAATCCATTTTAGCACATTTTTGATCCTATCATATTAAAATACACTTTATTTTATATATTATATTATTTTATTTGTAATACATTATACTTAGCTATTTCATTATATTATTTTTTTAAATAGTATCATTAAAAATTCATATTTGTTGTCATTAAAATGTATTAAATATTTAATCAATTAACAATAATTTTACATTTTTTAAATAAAAAAAATTATTAACAAATTAATAATAATTAATTAAAAAATTATTACTTAATAATAACAATAACAGTTGTTTGTTTTGTAGCTTATATGATTATCAGCAATCTAGTGATTGCAAATCGCTAACGGACAACAAATCCACCATTATGGACAACAAGATCCAGTCATGCACCACACACACTCACAACCAGTTCCTGATCAGGGCTAATTGCATACAGGAGAAGGGCAGGAAAGGGGAAAACAGGCAGCCGAGTGATTGTGAACTCTAGTTGCGTGATGTAAAATATGACTGGCTTATTAAATGAATGAGTAAATGTTCAATGTAAATAATTATGTAATTAGAAAATATATATTTAGATAAAGTTAAAAATGCATCAATTAAAAAAAACAATAATTTATTTTATGACTAATTTGTATTATTCAAATCCTATTTTTGCACATTTTTGATCATATCATATTAAAATACACTCTATTTTATATATTATATTATTTACTTGTACTACAATATATTTTGCTATTTCATTATATTAATATCGCGAGCTGAACAGCGGGGTGGGGTTGGGGGGGCTGTTGAAGACACGAAGCAAACTTAAGACCGGCCGGTGTGGGGGAGGGAGGGGTGTGAATTTCTGGGAGTTTTCCGGGAGAATAATACATTTTACCATTAGAGGTTGGTTATATTCACATTAATTAATTAATTATTTATATAGCTCTTTTCTGGACACTCAAAGCACTTTACACATTGGGGGAATCTCCTCATCCACCACCAGTGTGCAGCATCCACCTGGATGACGTGACGGCAGCCATATTAGGCCAGATCGCACACCACACACCAGCTGATTGGTGGAGAGGAGACAGAGTGATGAAGCCAATTATGGTATGGGGATGGTTGGGACGCCATGATGGACAGAGGCCAGTGGGCAAATTTGGCCAGGATGCCAGGGTTAAACCCCTACTCTTTTCGAAGGACATCCTGGTATTTTTAACGACAGCCAGGATCTCGGTTTAACATCTCATGCAAAAGACGGCGCTCACTGAGCAGTATAGAGTCCCCGTTACTATACTGGGGCATTAAGACCCACACAGACCACAGGTTCAGCGCCCCCTGCTGGCCTCACTAACACTTCTTCCGGCAGCAACCTATCTTTCCATGTGGTCTCCCATCCAGGTACTGACCGGGCGCAGCCCTGCTTAGCTTCAGCGGGCGACCATGTGAGCTTCACACGCTGTTGCCACACAACTGTGTTTAATCCCTCTGTAAATGTGATTATTGCATAATAGGTAAAAACATGTTTTATTGCAGTGAAACTAAAATAAATAAGAAAAAATACAATTTAAAATATTGTGAAAAATTTGCTTGCTCTGTTAAACATGTAATGTAGTGTGCATTTATATAGCGCATTTATTGTGTATGGCCATACACCCAAAGTGCTTCACAATCATGGGGGAGGTCTATCCACACTACCACCATTGTGCAGCATCCACTTGGATGATGCAACGGCAGCCACAGGACAACAGCAACCAACAGGAGGACCGATGTCCTATGACTTTAGCTCCAACTTGCTTTAACACACCTGCCTGGAAGTTTCTAGTATATGTAGTAAGAGCTTGATTAGGTTCAGGTGTGTTTGATTAGGGTTGGAGATAAACTCTCCAGGACACTGGCCCTCCACGACCGAGTGTGGACACCCCTGGCCTACGTCACACACCAGCTTTGGGGAAATGGAGAGACTGTGATAGAGCCAATTCAGTGGATGGGGGTGATTGGAAGGCCATGATCGGTAAGGGCTAATGGAGGGTATTTGGCCAGAACACAGAGGTTACATTACTACTCTTTACGAGAAGTGCCATGGGATTTTTAATGACCACTGAGAGTCAGGAACTTGGTTTAACATCTCATCCGAAAGACGGCGCTCACTGACAGTGTAGTGTCCCCTTCACTATACTGGGGCATTAGGAGTCACACAGACCACAGGTTGAGCATTTCCTGCTGGCCTCACTAACACCACTTCTAACAGCAACCTAGTTTTGTGGTCTCTCATCCAGGTGCTGACCAGGCTCTGTGAGTAATCGGTCTTGGACTGCAGGGTGGCATGGCTGTGGCATCACTTGGGAAATGGGCCTATATATATAAAAAAAAGAATTAAAATTTCACTGGAGGGCTTATAATTTTGCCTTCACATATAGAAAAAATATGCCAGAGACAGAGGGAATAATTGTTTCCACCTTTCCCGGCAGATTCTCAAAGCGGTCAGCGATGTCTGGGATGGACGGCTCGGTGGAGGAGCTCAACAACGCGACAGAAGTGAACAGCCAGAGTTTCCTGCGCTTCAGCCCTACAGTGTCCGTGTCCACCGGAGTGGCCGCTGCCTCCTACGGACGGACTGCTAATGTTTACGTCTACATCTCCATCTTCCTCAGCCTGCTTCTGTTCCTGCTCACCCTCCTCATCATCGCTCTCCACCGGCTGAAGAACATCATCTCCTCCAGCTCCTCCTACCCAGAATGCAGCAGCGACGCCGGCAGCTCCTTCACCAACATGGAGATCTGCAGCATTTCCTCACAGAGATCCACCGTGTCCTCGCTGTCCTGACAGAACAGAGACACCATGAGCACACCATGATTGCTACACACATTTGAGACATCATTTGCTATACATTAGGGCTGCACGGTATTGGAAAAATCTGATATTGCCATATTTTGGTTTTTAGTTGAAGTCAGAATTATTAGCCCCCCTGCATATATTTTGCCCTAATTTCTGTATAACGGAGAGCAGACTTTCTCAACACATTTCTAAACATAATAGTTTTAATAACTCATTTCTAATAGCTGATTTATTTTCTTTGCCATGATGACAGTAAATAATATTTGACTAGATATTTTTCAAGATATTAGTATTCAGCTTAAAGTGACATTTAAAGCCTCAACTAGGTTAATTAGACAAGTTAGGGTAATTAGGCAAGTCAGTGTTTCCTGTAGGATTTTTTCCAGCTGTGGTGGCAGGCCTTTAACACAGATCTTCCATCTGTGTTATTTCAATGACGAATGTCGTGAGCGCAGTATTACAAGTCGAGATTGCATTCATGTAATACGAGTATGCGAATCTCTTTGCTTGAGCACAGATTTTCTTGTGCTCTCTTAAATAAACACTGCTGAAGCGCGATTTAGAGCGTTCATGTAGTGAGTATGTCTCCAACATTTATTAGATTTGCTAGGAATATTTATGAATGTCTCCAAGACCTACAGAACAGCATTGAAGCATCCGAAAGTGAAGTGAAACGGCTATAAACTCCAGCAAGACAAAGTCATATGCAGAACCACAGACCTTTATCTATAAAGTATAACTATGGAAACTGTTCATCATAACTGAAAGCTACAGTATGTCGTGTTTACTGGCCTCACGCACCTGTCAGTCAGTCAGTAAACACCATGTCACCTTAAAGAATTAAACAAATAATGCACAGCACTACAATGATTTACAATGATTTTGTTCTATTATAATTCATTTCTCTTTTAATATGCGTTGGTTCGATTATAACCTGCAATAAAACACACACACACACACACACACAAAAAAACAGTGTCTTAATGTTTTGAATGAGAAGCTGTAATGTAGCCTTGGTGGGACTGAATTTTGGTGTGGCGCCCCACCATGGAAGAAAGAATGTAGTGGAAACCATGTAAGTCATTGTATAACAGTGGTTTGTTCTGTAGACCAGTGGTTTGTTCAGTAGTTTGTTTTCAGCCCACGACCCCCAAAATAATAATGTCAGTGACTTGCGACCCCCATTTTTCAAGGTGGTTAAACTGTAAATATACTAACGTTGCACACACAACTATAGGCATATATAAACATGAGCATATAAATTCTTCATCCACAAATGCAAAATTATGAAAACAGCTCCTCAATTGATTGTGTTTAAAAAGGAGTTTGCCACATATGTAGAAGCTTTAAAAATAATGAAAGGTGAGAAGGCTAAAAGATTATATGATTTGTTTCTTGAATATGGTTTTATTTAACCCCTTACAGAGTTTCTGTTAGATGTCTGCATGGTATGGTGTTATTTATTTGTTTTTGTTTCGTTTTATTAAGATATTTCGAACATTGTTTTTTATTTATTTTTGTTTGGTTTTGTACTTGATTCATTGTATATCTGACATGTCTCAGTCAGTTTGTGTAAGATTATGTTTGGACTGAGTTTGGCCTAAATTGTTGTTTTTGAAAGGCAAAAAAAAAAAACATGAGCATATTGGCAACACAAAAAATGCAACAGTCTAATAACCGTGTAATGTTTTTGTTTTATAGTCAATTATTAATTTAATTTAATTTTAATATAAAAAACTAAAGGCTGATGGCTGATTTTTGTTTGTATGTTGTTGTTTTTTTAACATAATTATTAACTATCTTCTGTGGATTATGAATAAAATATGGTAATTCTAATAGTTTAACAAAATTTACTTGAGTTTTGAAAATCACTTAGCGACCCCTTGTCATTGTATCGGGACCACTCGGGGACCACTCCCGTGACCCCCACTTTGAGAACCATTGCTGTAGACAATCGAAAAAAATATTGTTTAAGAGGGCTAATAATATTGACCTTAAAATGGTTTTAAAAAATGAAAAACAAAACAAATAAGACCTTCTCCAGAAGAAACAAATATTATAGGAAATACTGTAAAAAAAAAACTCTTGCTTGGTTAAACATAATTTCAGAAATATATATATATTTTACATTTACGGAAGAAAGCATCATTCTGACTTCAACTGTCTATTGCAATAAAAATAGTTTCACCAGATGGTTTAAGTAGTTTTTGTCTAGTTTCTAGTACAAATTTCTTAAAATTCTTGAATTAAATTAAAAAATTGCTTTCTTTTCCTTTAAAAATTATTAAGAAGGGCCAAAAAGAATCTGCTGACTGTTTTTGCTGTTTCTGCACAGAACAAATGTTTACAAAATCTGTGGAATGATTTATATAGTACATAGTAACTAGAAACTTAACACATGAAGAACAAAACTAATACTTTTTTAGGTAACACTTTATTTTGATGGTCCATTTGAGTATTAGTAGACTGTCTGCTTAATATCTGTTGATACTGCTCCTTTAACAGACATTTAAATGACTATAAGAAACTTTGCAAGTACATAACCCAATACCCAACCTAACTGTCTCCAATGAGAATTAGTTGACATGAAGATGCAATAAACCTTAAATTCAACAAACGAACCATCAAAATAAAGTGTAACCCCTTTTTAAGCTTCATTTAAGGTTTACAATACAAATAGGACCACTTGTCCGGAAAACAAAGTAAGTCTCTCATATAATGTATCCACTAAATGACATTACATTTTACATTTATTTATCAAAGCAGACTTTCCCAGTACTAACGGCTGAAAGGGCATCCACTGTGTTAAACAAATGTCGAAATAGTTGGCAGTTTATTCCGCTCTGGTGACCCCTGATATATAAGGAACTAAGCCGAAGGAAAATTAATGAATTAATTAATTAAAGCAGACATTTTACAAACTGTATTATACATAAATCATTCAAACGATTGCATACTCTTCAATAACATTACTGAAATAAACACTGAATCAATATATATTTACATATGCTTGCAGGAGTAAAAACAATAGATTGAACTATGGGCTCAAAAATAAGCAGATTTCTGTGCGTGCAGATTCCATGCTGGCCTATAGTTTTAAGCCAAAATTAAATCAGTTTTGCCTTTTAAAAAGAGCTAAATAATGTGCCAATGTGCTAAGTAATACAATCTTTTTTTCCATTTGATATTTAAACTAGAAACAAGACAAGAATTCTATAAGCAAGCCTTCTTTGTAGTGCAAATGTAAAATGACACTATATAATCTTCATCGTATAAATAATTAAACACAATTAATTGTTGTTACACCTCCAAACGTCATCATTTCTTGTGCCCAAATGAAAATGTAAACTCTCTTAAAATGAGAGTGAAATTAAATTAAATTAAAAAAAATCACAGGCACACATGCAAATAATAAACTTTTACTCTATTATGGATCAACTTTGCAGTGACTAAAATTGTGTTCTATGACTCCTGATAATTCAGACTCAACAATGCCCATCCTAAATATATCCAATACATTTTGCAGCCCTAGTTTACAGTTGAAGTCAGAATTATAAGCCCCCCTTTATTTATTTTTTTTAACTTTTAAATATTTCCCAAATGATGTTTAACAGAGCAAGAAAATTTTCACAGTATGTCTGATAATATTTTTTCTTCTAAAGACAGTCTTATTTGTTTTATTTCGGCTAGAATAAAAGCAGTTATTACATTTTTAAAAACAATTTTAAGGACAAAATTATTAGCCCCTTTAAGCTATTTTTTCTTTCGATAGTCTACAGAACAAAACATCATTATACAATAACTTCCCTAATTATCCTAACCTGCCTAGTTAACTTTATTAACAAGGTTAAGACTTTAAATGTCACTTTAAGCTGTATAGAAGTGTCTGGAAAATATCTAGTCAAATATTATTTACTGTCATTATGACAAAGATAAAATAAATCAGTTATTAGAAATGAGCTTATTAAAACTATTATGTTTAGAAATGTGTTGAAAACATCTTCCCTCCGTTAAACAGAAATTGGGGAAAAAATAAACAGGAGGGCTAATAATTCACTGGGCTAATAATTCTGACGTCAACTGTATATGACGGTATTTAACATTATTTTAAGTGTTTCATTTATAACTGGGATTATACGGTAAATACTTTATTTAAGGCGAGACACTGCTAGCAAATAGGCTTTGCGTCTTCTCATAGTGGAAAAGAAACTTCTAAATACGCTTTTAAGTGCATCTTTTGTCATTTTATTCATTTGCGCCTGTAGATTTTAATTACAATACATATTTTTAAAGGCTGATTTCTCATGATTTTTCTTCGTCTGCACTGAGCCATAAATCTACACTTCAGCAGCACTTACATACGACATTCACGTCTGTATTCTGAAGATTTGTTTGGGTTTTTTGCATAATTTACCTGATTATATACAACTTATTATTCTACAAAACTTCTAAAAGATTAAATAAATAATTAAATACATTTCTGGCATAAGTTTTATGAAAAATAAAAAATCCCCGGTTAAAAAACTGTAATAACTAATTAATCCAATGTTCATATTTTTGTTCTAATTATGCAATAGCACATATTTTTGATGTAACTACTCATTTGCATATTCATACAACATTTTAAAACTTGTAATGCAAAATAAATGTTCGCCATTTTTATTGTCATCAATCAACTGAGGAAGTATGGTGAACATTCTTATTCGTTTCTTTACCCTATTCTCCTGCAGTGTCTTGCATTACATGATTGATTTATACAATTGAGATCCACGTGAGATCCTTATTTATTATTTTGTAAAACTGCTTAACATTACTTCTGAATGTTAATCACAAATATGGAGAACAAACCTGCAAAAAAATAAATAAATACACAAGTAAATAAATAAATGTGTAAATAAATCCATAAATTGGATAAATAAAACAAATGAATAAAATACGATAAAGAAACGTATACAAAAATCCACAATTTCCTGTATGAATAATTATGTAAATAATTAATAGTGTGTAATAAATTATTAAATAAATTACACACATGTTGAGGGAATAAGAAAATCCTAAAGCTTTATTTATTTTCTCATTTATTTATCCAGAAATGTTTGGATTCATTTAATCATTTATTTGCATATTTATTTATTGTTTTTGCATGTTTCATATGTATATAAAAATGTAAATAGAAATCCTGTCATGCTGACTCTATTATAAGAAAAGGTTTACTTTTGTAAGCTTGGAAGTATTCATACATCATCTCTTATAGAAGCTTTGAATAAAATCTGATTTGCTCACACAATGTACAGAGGAAACATGACTGTTATTCATATGCAACAGAGAAAAACGAAGACTATAAAAATGAAAATCTATCAAGAATTTTTATACTTAATTAATAAAAAAAAACACTTGAAATTTAGACAAACTCTGTATAGCAAGAATATAATATTTACTTAGTTTTAAGTAGTGAAGTCACAATTCTGATAGGTAAAGTCAGAAATATGAGATGTTAACCCGAAATGGTGATGTACTGGTATACTTTGACAATTAAAGTCACAATTTTGTTTGAGATTTCCAAGAAAATGTCAAACTGTGATACATTATCATCTCAGAACTGAAGATATAAACTCCAATTGACAAAAAGGTCAAAATGTAGAAAGGTTACTTCAAAATTGCAATACATAAACTCAGAATTTATAGGTATCTATAAAAGTATTTATAATTGCAGTTGTAAGAAATAGTCGCTGATTTTGAAGTCAAAACTGCAAGATATGAATGTGAAATTACAATATATAGACACACTTTTGGGCTAAAGATAGGTTTTTATTTATTTGTTTATTATTCTGGAAACATGCTCCACAGATGTCAGAAAGAATGTTTATGTTAACAGTAGGCTACAAATTACAACTTCAATTTGATATCAAGACAAGCAATGTTATAATTTTGAGATTAGGGAATTATGAGATCATACAATACTAAAATCCAACACAGATAGATAAATTGGTAACTGTTTGTAATTAAGGGGTCCTTAAGTGAGCCAGAGGAGCGATTTTGCTTTTCTTGTTAGCTGAATTAAAGCAGATATTTGGTATCATCTCAACCCCTGGACTCAAAGTATACAGTTATAATTGCTGTGTAAATGCATTTAAGCCCCGTATAATGACTTCTGAGCCTCCTCTGCAGTGTACTACAGTGTTTATCGAGCGTCTGATAGCTCTCTGAAAGAAACTAGAGCCGTGTTTAAATCTCTCACAGGGTGAAATGAATCGATATGATTTATTTAGCTTATATGTTGTATAAACAGAAACTTTCTACCTGAAATCTGTTATTTACCTGAGGTTTCTGAGGGGACGGTTAATCCTGATATTTTTGTTTGTGAGGGAATCAAGTCAGCTTAAAATGGTGCCGTTGTCGACTTTGATGTGTTGCTGTTGTTTTGGCAGGTTGATATTTTTAATCTAATACAATTTCGTTCATTTTAGGGGTGCTCGAATCAGCGACCGAATTCTTGCTGTGAGACGAACATGCTAGCCACTGCGCCACCGTGTAGCCTATTTAAAGTATTATTTTATTAAACAAAATAATAACAAAAATAAAATAAAAATAGCAATGAATTTATAAATAAATAACAATAAAGGAATAGTTTACCCAAAAATTAGCATGTAAACATATGTATGCAAATAAGCGCATTTAATAGCTTGTCTATAAATATCTTATTTTAATGTAACATTTAAAATTGTAATAAAATAAGTATTTGCATTTCTTAGCCAAGGCAGTGTAGATAAATAATTCTTGCCGTTCATCTGATTTATTTAAATCGCTATATTTTATAAAATAGATCACAATTTTACCCCAATATTAATACCCAAAACCTACCCCTCACAGTGATGTTAAAATATTAATTATCGTAGTCACAAAATTTAAATACGCAGCTGTATCCCTTCTAGACATTACCCTCTACTGTTGTAGTAGTCTTCGCAGCTGTATCCCCTCTAGACATTACCCTGTAACCGCCGCGTGGAGCCTCTAGATGGCGCAGCGTCCAGCCGACAGTCTCTCTGCAGCGGCCATAACTGTTTTGTTTTTGTCCTCATGACAGCAGCCTTTTATTCCTCCGTTTAGAGATTATGTTCACCAGGCTTCGGACATTTAAAATGCGATTTTATGATGACCAACACACAAAATTAATTTTGTAATAAATTATTCAGAGGCGAATTCTCAAAAAGGGCTAGTTCCTACGGATAAGACAGGTGAGGGATTCGGCTTTTGAAAATGAGTAATAACCTTCATCTGAGTTTAGTAAACACCGGTAAAGAGCACAGCCAAACCCCCGGGCCCGCAGACAGCAGCACCACCCCGTCCGACCTCGAGAATTTTCCGTACGACGCCGAAGATCCGGGCGAGGAGAGCGGCCCGGAGGAGCCGAGGGACGGAACGGTCAGCCCGGAGGAACTCAACGACGACGACACCTCTGGGGAGAGCGAGAACCTACCCAAAACCTGCACCTATGACGGCTGCACGGAGACCACGACACAGGTGGCCAAAGCCAGGAAACCCTGGATGTGCAAAAAACACCGAAATAAAATGTACAAGGACAAGTATAAGAAGAAGAAGAGCGACCAGGCCATGTCTTCTGGAAAGCTGGAGGTATCCACTGAAATATTTTTAAAGGGATAGTTCACCTACAAAAATAATTTTACACACTATTTACACACCCTCAAGTGATTCCACAACGCTTTTTATACTGTTGAAAGACGATATTTTGAAAAATGTTAACCTGTGACCATTTACTTTCATAGTAGGAAAAACAAATGCAGTGGAAGTCTATTGTTACAGGTTTCAAAATAACTTATTTCATGTTTTTTGTCTTATTTGACAAAATGTATAATAATATACAAACAAGTTCAATAAGCAAGAAAGAAACAAACTAAAAAATGTTTTAAACAAATGGAGGGTGAATAAATGAATTTTATCAGATACAAATAAATTTCATTTTTGGGTGAACCATCCCTTTAATCTTAAACGAATGAACTTGAGGTTTTATCATGACTGACTGATATAGACTGTTTTAATCAGTGTTTTCTGTGCGTTTTTCTTTAGGAGGGCTCGGAAGAGCGGCCTGTCTCTGTGACCAAGCAGAGGCTCGGCTCTATGGGTGACAGACCCGCCAGACCCTCACTCATAGAGCAGGTGCTCAACCAGAAGAGACTAGTAAGGCCATGAAAACGCTTTTATTCATTAATGCATCATGTGCAGAGGTGTGTGTGTGTGTGTGTGTGTGTGTGTGAGAGAGAGTATTAGAGCAATAAATGAAAATAAACAAATCCAACACAAGTACTAATAAGAGTCCATAATGTTAAAATTGGACTATGAATATTCAAACACATTCATTTACTTATTTCTTTATAGTGAACAATATATATATATATATATATATATATATATATATATATATATATATATATATATATATATATAGTTAAAATCAGAATTATTAGCCTCCCTGTTTATTTTTCCCCAATTTCTATTTAACAGAAATTTATTAAATTTATTTCTAATCATGATAGTTTTAATAACTCATCTCTAATAACTGATTTATTTTATCTTTGCCATGATGACAATAGATTATATTTTGACTAGATATTTTTCAAGACACTTCTATACAGCTTAGTGATATTTAAAGGCTTAACTAGGTTAACTAGGCAGGTTAGAGTAATTAGGCAAGTCATTGTGTTATGATGGTTTGTTCTGCAGATTATGAAACAAAATATAGCTTAAAGGGGCTAATAATATTGTCCTTAAAATGGCTGTTAAAAAGTTAAAAACTGCCTTTATTCTAGCAGAAATAAAACAAACAAGACTTTCCTTGAACATTTCCTTGCTCAGTTAAAAATTATTTGGGAAATATAAAAAATAATAAAAAGAAACTCAAAAGGGGGATAATAATTGTGACTTAATATTGTATAAAAAAATTGACCAAGTTGTATTTTCCTTCTTTTAGTAGTAGATGTTAAATAATAGTTTTGCATAATTTCTGTGACATGTCATTAATATTAATATGAACATTTTAGTGAACTGAATTTTTTCTCTAAAAGGATCATGAAAAATATATGACAACATACATTTTATTCATAAAACTAATACATGTATAAAAATGTATATTTCATGTATTGTAATTGTTTAGAAATGTAAATCAGATTATTTATTAAAATTATAAATATTTTAAGAATATTCTTTTTAAAAAGTATAGTAACTATGTAGCTGAATAGGTGAATTAGATATTTTCCTCTTAGCTGACAACATTAATATAATTTTAAATACTCAGATTTATCTGTCTGTCTGCCTATGCTATATTGCTTTTATATTCTTTTAAACCAAGTTTTGCATATTTGAATGCATTACAGATGTCCTTAATATTTCTCAAACTCAACTTATGAACTCTTAGCAAAGTGACTTACCAGCAGCTGATGTTGTGTTGTTTTTGCTTTTCAGTCTCTGCTGAGGAGTCCAGAAGTCATCAGTTTCCTCCAGCTGCAGCAGCGTTTACTGACCACGCAGAACCGCTCTCAAACACAGCACAACTTCTGAACACTGAAGCTGACCAACATTTCATACAGTCCCTTTTTAACATTTTTTGTGAATACTGCATATTGATGCTGTCAGCATGGGGTACCTGCAGTGGTCCTGAATGCAGTGGAGACTATCAGCAAAACTGCAGGATCTCATCCGTGAAGAGCTTTCATATCATGAAACAAATCAGCAGCTAAATCTACTGTACAATTCTGTTCGTCCACATGAGGTCAGTTAGGATTTTTAATGAACACTAGAGAACATTCATCAATTCAATGATCTTAATGTATTCTATGATAGTGTTACTGATCAAATCTCTTTGAGATTTTTTTTAACTTGCCCATCCACATCTTGTTAATTGTAAAGCAGAAAAAAACAGCCTATGTTGTGTTCAGTCTGCTTTATTATTATTTTTAAGTCTGCTAAAGCAATCAAATGCATTTTTACAGATCCTCTGATATTTATGAATGACAGTTTTTAGCTTGAAAAGCGAGTAGACATCTCAACTTTTGTTTGTTTTTAATATTATATTTGTGTTCAGGTCAAAAATCAAAAAGGCACAAATAAAAAGGAGGCATTTGTTTTGTATTACAAAAACAAGACAGCTAAGTTTAAACGTTATAGACGGCATATGGCAAATAAAACACTGTCAGAACAAGTACCTGCCTACTAGCACATTTCTTTGGCTTCCTATTAGATCTCAGCTATTACATACTGTCAAGTAGTAGTGTTTTTTATGTAGCCATTTAAAACAATGCAACACTTATCTAATAACACGACTGCTTAGTTAACAGCATGATATTGTACGTATTTTCAGGCTGATCCTATAACGGTACCATAAACATCCACTAAAGACATATATTTTCACAAGAGAGTGAGAGAGAGTGCTATGTGTCTTGCGTGGCTATGAAGTCTATTGGAGAATTGTCTCCTGTATTGTATTAGGACACCGAGGAAATGGGGTTGTGTGGGGAGCCCATTTGGGTCAGAACTTTGTCCAGCCACTGCAGGGGCCCGTGCAGGTGGATTTCTATCCAGCAGGGGGTGCTGGTGACGTCCTGACGGTGGTACTCGGCTCCCCAGCCCTGAGAAAGGAAAAGATTCATGTATCAATACATAGATTAATAATAATTAGGGCTGTCAAATGATTTAAAAAATGAACGTGATTAATCACACTATTTTTGTAATTAATCATGATTAATCACAAAATGCGCATTTATTACAGAAATAAGAACACAGGCATGTAAGTGCCAATTGAATTTCAAAACAATCAATCAATGCCAATAACAAACAAAAATGCTTTCCATGTTGGATTCTAAATTGACTACAAATACAAACACACACAAACAGACAACGCGCGCAGTGCCGGTAAGCGAGAGGGATCCCTTCAGATTCATCAACAAGCATGATCGCGTTCATCAAATTTGCTTAAGTGTTCTAAACTATGGCTGTATTTCACAAGCAAATATTCCAATACACTAACTACAAGCAGACGCTTAACAAAAAGGGGGAAAACATGTCAAACTTAATGAAACATTTGAGGGCTCATGGACGCAGATGTCTTTGACAGCTTGCAAAATTCATCTGCCACTTTCATTCACATGGACACCAATACTCAGCTTTGATGATTAGGATGATACTGATTAAGAGTCGACCATGCTGGCAGTGATTTTTGATTGCCTCAAAGAATCACGTCTTGAAATGTGGAGGTTTTTCTTTCCGTTCTCCATGCGGTATTAAATTCCATTAAAACATCCTGCTGTTAGAGTGAACTGCTGTTAAAGTCTAAATATTAAAAAATGAAACGCCTGAAATTGCATAAAACTCTGGAGGAAACGCAGGATAGCCTGCTGATGTGACATTGATTTATACTGAAACTTTCCTTCTAAAAGCGTGTCCTTGGTCTTATCCATATTTCTTTGCACGTTAAACACACGCAGGACCAGAGCAAGCTGAACATGTGCTCACACCGTTTTATTCGTATTGAAGGCCGAGGACCGTGAGGGAGGCGGTGGGTGTAGCGGATGAATGTGTGGACCGGGGGGTTCGCTCCCTATTCTGCTGCTCAAGGCGGCTGCCTAGGTCAGTGGTTCCCAACCTTTTTCTTTGGGGCCCCCCCCATGAACATATACAAACATTGGAGCCCCCCCACCATATAAATACACACGCACGCACATACATATGTACTGTGTGTGTGTGTGTGTGTGTGTGTGTGTGTATATATATATATATATATATATATATATATATATATATATATATATATATATATATATATATATATATATATATATATGTGTGTGTGTGTGTGTGTGTTTGTGTAATATTAATATATAGTAATATGTATAGAAAATATTAATTAATCAGTTTTAACTTGTCTTGGCCTTCAACAAAACCAAAATTTAGGTAGGCTTTGTCATACTGTCTAATCTTTTTCTTCGCCTCTGAAGAATCACTGCATTTACGTTTGTCTGCCATTTTTGTTTTGGTTTAAATATTTTGAAACCAATTTAAGGTCAATATTATTAGCCCCCTTAAGCAATATATATTTTTGATTGTCTGCAGAATAAACTACCGTTATAATGACTTGCCTAATTACTCTAATTAAGCCTTTGAACTGCACTTTAATCTGAATGCTTGTATTTTGAAAAATATCTAGTAAAATATTATGTGCTGTCATTATAGCAAAGACAAAAAGAAATCAGTAATTAGAAATGAGATATCAAAACTATCATGTTCAAAAATAAGTTAATAAAATATTCTTTCCATGAAACAGAACTTGGGCAGGAAAAGGTTTGCTAATATTCAAGAGGGCTAATAATTCTGACTTCAACTGTATACATACAGTTATTTTCCACCCTGCAAAGGAAAGAGAAATAAATACAATAGAATAAAAATATAAAACAAACTGTGCTTTAAGCATCTTCACTGTAAGAAAAACACTTTAGCTACAGCAGTCCTTCAGTCAAGAGCAGCGAGGGTTTTCTCGTTGTGTTTGTTTAATAATGATAAAAACAGGCGGCAGAAGGATTATAGCGCACTAGTCTCTTTAATGGTTTCTCTTTCACGTCTTTTGATCCTCAACTCGTTTGTTTATAACACAAATGAGGGTTAATGTACATAATCACTAAACACCGCGTTTTGACACCTGTTTGACCATTAAAGCGCTCACGTTAAGATGACTTTAGATGTCTGCGCTCCTCTGCTCGTCTCAGTGTGTGAATGAGAGTGAATGCTGACCCGCCGCATGCTTCTGACTGCGTGATCGTGCTGCACACACACATAAGCTCTTTCGCGCTTTTAAGAGCCATTTAAGAGCGTGTACAACTGGAACGTGGCAAAATATGATGCAATAATCATTTATCTCGATTAATGCTTTTTTATAATCGTTTAAAACCGAAATATAAATCGGATATTCGATTAATTGCAAAGCCCTTTATAATAGTGGAGCATTTTTATGCCTTTTTCTACCTCAATACTTATCCTCTCCCGCGCCCCCCCTGTGAACTCTGGCGCCCCCCTTAGGGGGGCGCGGACCCCAGGTTGGGAACCACTGGCCTAGGTCACCTCTATGGACGTGTCAGCCCTAAACACGTCGGCCACAAAAAAAAAAAAAACTTGGACTGGGTTATTTGCGTTATTTTTGTTTTTACGCGTTAAAGGTTTTAAATTAATTACGTGCGTTAACGTGCTAATTTTGACAACCCTAATAATAATTGAAGTACATGATTAGAAAGCAAATATGTTTTTGATTCCCTTGCAGCACCAAAGAGAACTTAACAGTTGGGTTTCTAAAGTGAAACTCTTTTTTTATATATATCGTTTTCTTCATGAGGAAATACATTTTTAGCAATAAAGATAATCAGTTACATATACTTTTTGCTGAACCCATTTATTTACATTCATTAAATTTAATTGCATTTTTTTGTTTTGTTTCGAGGTTCTGCAGGTTGCAATGTCCCGAATTTTGCTTGCCAATCTTAAGCCAATTGTAATAGTTTGTTTTGGTTAATTTGGAATTTCCCCGGGGGACCACAGCAAGAACTCCGACTTTTGACTCCAAATTTTGAGCTTTTGTCAGCTAATTTCATCTTCCAAATTTAAAATCATTTTTGGGGCGGGATCAAAATCAGTGACATAGTGCTCATCTGCCTGTCCAGCAATGACGTGTCGGCTTCTCATTATTATCCATAGACTGAGTTTTCTTTGAGAAGAGACTGCTTCTTAATTATTCATGAGCACATGCTTTACGAAGACAGACCTGCCAAGCTGTAAAACTGCGGCCACATACGGCACACTGTATTTAGCCATTCATGAAGGGTTCTATGCAGTGGTATAGCGGGGGTCCCGCATCATGGGAGGCCGTTGTGGTCACATTCCTAAAGGAAAGACTATTGGTTCAATTATTTTTAGTGAATCAAATGCATCCAGTGTAACCAGTGTCCAATTCTTTACTGAATCATAAATCTTAATAAATCTTATCGGTAAATATAAAGTATTCAGCACAACCAGGTTAGTCCCAAATTATTATTTTTTTACTCAAAGCGACCAGCACAAACAGTTTATACCGGTTAGTTACTGAGTAATATTCTGATTCCTGAGTGAATCCCTCTTATGAGCCAGTTCTTTTAAATGAATCAAAAGTAGTGTGAGTAACCAATGTAGATTTATTTACAAATAAATTGACTCTAATGATTCAGTTCTTTGATAAATCAAAAGCAAAATGAATTTAATCTCATGAGCCTGTTTTTGAAAATACATTTTGAGGCAAAAAACATTGCTATATTGTTCAAAGTGAGTGTTCACAAAACGTTCAATGCTGTTCACACTATAAAGCTTTGTACCTTGACGAAACTCATCCTGATGGTGCACATCTTGGTGAGTTCATACACCACTTCAAAGCCGTGGTTTACCGACTGTGAGAGCAGCTGGGCAAACAGCTGGTTGTTGAAGATCTTCAGGCTGCATCCACTCGGGATCTTGCAGACGGTGGTGGGGTGAAAACCGTGCTGATAGTTACAGTTCCGACTCTGAACGAAAATACTGGAGTCACTCAGACACTCTGCGTACACCTCTCCTCCCACATAATACAAGTGCACACCTGCAGGAGAAAGAGAATCGGTCAATTTCAAGGGATAGTTCACTCAAATAATTTAAATCCTTTAGGAGTTAATTGTTTTCCGTTGAACACAACAGAAGATATTTTAAAGTATGCTAAAAACCTGTCACCATTGAATTCTATAATAGGAAAAACAAATACTATGGAAGTCAATGGTTACAGGTTTCCAACATTTTTCAGAATACAAATGCACACCTGCAGAAAGAGTCTGACAATTTAAAGGGATAGTCCACTCAAAAAATGCAAATCTACACACACTCAACTGGTTCCAAACCTTTATGAGTTTATCTTTTTTTCTGTTGAAGACAAAAGTTTACGTATAATTAAACAGTCATGCTTTTAGGTTAATTAAGCTTAAGATAATAAAAATTTAAAGGGATAGTTCAGTCAAAAATGAATATTTACATTAATTACCATTATGAGTTCTCTTTTTTTGTTAAACATAAATGAAGGTTTTTTCAAGAAAAGCTGGAAACTAGAACAAACAAATACTATGGAGGTCAGTATGGTTACCCATTTGCAACCTTCTGTGTTCAACAGAAGAAAGAAACTTAAACAGGTTTGTGACAAAATAAAAGGTTTGCAGATTGAAGGGCATCTGCTGTGTAAATCATATGCTGGAATAGTTGGCGGTTCATTATGCTGTGGCGACGCCTGATGAATAAGGGACTAAGCCGAAAGAAGATAAATGAATGAATGAAAGACAAATCCTATAGAAGTAAATGGTTACAAGTTTCCAACATTCTTCAAAATATCTTCATTTGTGTTCAACAGAAGAAATAAAACTGTAACAGGTTGGTTTTGAACAAGAACGGGGAGTAAATGATGACAAAGTATTCAGTTTACAGCTTTCTGTAACATCAATTTATAGGGTGACAAAACATCATGGCCAAAACGTCCTTATTGGTATTTTACAGGTTCATAAAAATAAAAAAAATCTGGATTAATTTTAGTTTTCTGTTTAATTTAGAAAAAAATTAATAGGACACCTAAAAATTAACATTTAGTTAAATATGTGTTAAATTAAATCATTAAATAGTTTTATTTTTTATTTGCTTTTAGATTCATTAAGATTAATTTAAAGGGATAGTAAAATGAATATTTATATTTATTGCCTTTATAGAGTTCTTCCTTTTGTTGAACATAAATTAAGGTATTCTGAAGAAAATATGGGAACTATGCTACAAACAACCCGTTTTCAACATTTTTTAACATATCTACTTCTGTGTTCAATAGAAAAAAGAAACTCAAACAAATGAAAGGTCAGAAAATGATGACAGAATTTTGGGTTTTGGGTGAACTATCCCTTTTTATAATTAAATTGAAGTCCCGTCAAATTAAAAATAGCAAAATAAAGAATCAAAAAAATCAAAATAGAAAACAATTATTTGGGGGGAAAACTCATTTCATATATCCCAAGAACATAAAAACTGATCCAGTGGTTTTCCACAAATGTGTTTACTACAACCACAAAGTCTTCACATATCACCACCTTTGAACTTGGCAAATCCCAGATATCATTATCCACAAAGCAAGCATTCATCATGTGTTATCACATGCCAAGTGGAAACCTTCATAATCTCCATTCTCCTGAAGCATCCTGATCTGGCTTATGTCGTTTTCCTTGGCTTTCTTCCCACCAGGATATCTCACAAAGTAGACAGAGCTCAAAGTGTGTGTGTGTGTGTGTGTGTGTGTGTGTGTGTGTGTGTCTCCTATGGCAACACTTAATGTCTTTCCAACACTGGCACAGCAGCGCTCATCCAGTGCCCTGAGAAAAGGCAACATTTGGACAGCGTGGACTCGATCTGTCTCTCTGAAGTGCAGTGTTGACTGTTCTGGCACCATAAAAACAAGTGCTGGTTTTGGGGTTTTGTTATTACTTTCTTTAGAAATCGGATCATGTGATGAAAGACAGCTTGGTCTTCTCAAGGCATTTGTGTATTTATTCCTTGTGTGGACCTAAAATTCAGTGTACACCGTTTGTCCCTCACAAAACCTATAAAAGAGGGGTGCCCAAACTTTTCCTTATGAAGGGCCAAAAACCAGATTTGATTGAGGGTGGTGGGGTGAGTGTAAATGTAACAAACTGTATTATATTAAAGTTGGCATGTTTATTTCCTAATTTATTAATATTTAAAAATAAATAGAAAAATACTTTAATCATAATAATAATTATACATATGAAATTTATACAGTTGAAGTCAGAATTATTAGCCCCCCTTAGTATTTTTTCTTCTGGAGAAAGTCTGATTTGTTTTATTTTGGCTGGAATAAAAGCAGTTATTAATTTTTAAAACTCCATTTTATGGACAAATTATTAGCCCCTTTAAGCTATATTTTTTCTGGACTGTCTACAGAGCAAACCATCATATTACAATGACTTACCTAGTTACCCTAACCTGCCTATTTAACCTATTTAACCTAGTTAAGTTTTTAAATGTCACTTTCAGCTGTATAGAAGTGTCTTGAAAAATATCTAGTCAAATATTATTTACTGTCCTCATGACAAAGATAAAATAAATCAGTTATTAGAGATGAATTATTAAATCTATTATGTTCAGAAATGTGTTGAAGAAATCTTCTCTCCATTAAACAAAAAATTAAGGAAAAAATAAACAAGGGGTCTTATAATTCAGGGGGGCTAATAATTCTGACTTCAACTATATATATATATATATATATATATATATATATATATATATATATAGATACTTTTTTTTTTTTTTTACATTTTATATTAATTTTTACTATTAAACCATAAACAATCCCATGTACAACACAAAGCCTTTGTCTTGATTTGTTCACATTTGTATTGTCCTTTATCTGTCAAGTTACAGTATTTACATTTTTTGAAAAATCAAAATCCTTCACAATATTTATTCATTCATTTATTTTTATTTCTCTTTATTCATCAGGGGTCACCGGAGTAGAATGAACCGCCAGCTTATCCAGCATATGTTTTACACAGCGGATGCCCTTCCAGCTGCAAATCCTTAGACTGTGGGGGAAACCGGAGCACCCGGGGGAAAACCACACCAACACGGGGAGAACATGCAAACTCCACACAGAAATGCAGACTGACCCAGCCAGGACTCAAACCAGCAACCTTCTTGCTGTAAGGCGACAGTGCTAACCACTGAGCCACCGTGTCGTCCTGATAATATTTAATTAAAACATTTAATTTCAGTTTGCTTTGTTGTAGCTCAACAATTAAAGGGTAAATTAGGAATGACGATCTATGCTGAAGGCATTCGTCACAAACTTTACCATTGCTCTTCCACCTTTTAGATAGGATGTCAGGCCAAATCAAAAGTTTGGCCCATGGGCGCTAGTTTTGCCATCTCTGCTCTAAAATAAAGCAGCTAAAATTTATTTCAATTCTCAAATCTATTTCTCAAATCTATCAACAAACTTATTTCTTACTGCACCACTAAGAAAATACTGGAAGGGCATCCACTGTGTAAAACACATGCTGGATAAGTTGGTGGTTCATTCCACAGTGGCGACCCTTGATGAATAAAGGAACTAAGCCGAAAGAAAATGAATAAATGAATGATTGAATGAATGAACTCTGGGGGAAAAAAAAGACCAACCTTTTCCTATGTGTCTGCGCGTGTGCTCGATGGTGGAGTTGCGGTTGACGTTGGACAGCAGGCCGAGACAGAAGCGGTTCTTGTTGTTTGATGGATCTGTGAAACCGTCCACTAAGATGCTTCGGGCAGAGGCGTGAAATGTCTCACCAACCCTGTTGTTGAGTTCATAATACGCCACCGAACACCAATATTCTGGTTCTTCATAACACACTGGCCTCAAGTCTGGAGAAAGACAGCATTTACAGTTGAAGTCAGAATTACAAGCCCTCCTGTGATTTTTCTTTTTCAAATATTTCCCAAATGATGTTTAACAGAGCAAGGATTTATTCACAGTATTTCCAATAGGGTTTTTTCTCCTGGAGAAAGTCTTGTTTGTTTTATTTCGACATGAATAAAAGACGTTTTTCATATTTTAAGTTCTGTTGTATGATGATTTGCCTAATTTATCTAACTTGCCTAATAAACCTAGTTAAGTCTATAAATAAATCAGTTATTAGAAAAGAGTTATCAAACTATTATGTTTAGAAATGTGTTATACAGAACTACAGGAAAACAAAAATATTCAGGAGGGCTAATAATTCTGACTTAAACCAGAACACTAATACATTATACAGTTAAATTCATATTAATGATTTATTTTAACAAAAAAGTAATAATGTAATAAAAAGTAATACAATTTATAAACGTACATTTTTAAAATTTAATTAAATATATTTTGTTGGTTACACACAAACAATATATACCAATTTATATACAGTTTGACTAGGCAAGGCAAGTCTATTTATATAGCACATTTCATACACAATGGTAATTCAAAGTGCTTCACATAAACAAGAATAAAAGAAATGAGAAAGTAAAAATGATTAAAACAATTAAAAATGATTAAAAACAGGTTTTAAAGGAACAAAGGCAAAAAAGACATGTAATACAATAGTATAATCGGTCACACTTTACAATAAGGTTCATTAGTTAATGTTAATTAATGCATTTATTAACATGAACAAACAATGAACAATACATCTACTACTGTATTTGTTCATGTTAGTTAATGTTAGTTAATGAAAATACTGTAGTTCATTGTTAGTTCATGTTAACTCATGGTGCATTAACTAATGTTAACAAGCATGATTTTGGATGTCAATAATGCATTAGTAATTGTTCAATTATGATTAATAAATGCTGTACATGTGTTGTTCATGATTAGTAAATGCATTAACTAATAAACCTTATTGTAAAGTGTTACCGTATAATCTGTGGGATGTAGCACAGTACTCATTCAGTAAAGGCACAGCTAAACAGATGTGTTTTCAGTCTCGATTTGAATGTGCCTAATTAACTAAAGTTTTAAATGTGTTGATATGAATGTACCTAACCAACTAATTTAACTAAATATATAAAAAAATAAAAAGTCATTACATTATACTCAAATCATTTGTGTTACAGTATTATTGTTTTGTTTTTTTTACATTTTGATTTGATAATGTGGAGGGAAAAAATTATAACGCTTAACAATCCGACACGTAGTTAACATTATTTAATGTATTTACTAACATAAACAATACATTTATTACAGTATTCATTTATCTCTGTTAACAGTTTTTAAATGAAAATAAAGTTTGGATAATAAATCAAGAAAATAAAGATGGATTTTAATAATGCATAAATGTTAAACAATTACTAATAAATAACACAAGTGTTACACTTGTATCCTTCATTGATTGTTCATGTTAGTAAATACATTAACTACATATCCTTTATTGTAAAGTGTGACCAAAAACATTATTTACTTGGTCATTTACATTTTAATTTGATTACTGTAACTAAAATTAGGTTTCATAAAACTAAACTAAAACTTTAAATTAAGTGAATATTAACTAAGAAACATTCATAATAGCTCATTTATAGCCATTTTTAACATTCTTCAATGAGATGCAATAACAAAGTGGTGACCTAGTGTTGATTTTGGGCTGGCTTTGCACAGCTTTATTGATAATGCAGTGTGAGTGTGTTTAGTCTGGACTGTCACCTCTTTGTGGAGCCGTCAGGATGAGTTTATTCTCTGAAGACTCTGCGGGCTTCACGTCTTCAGACGGACTGCTCTCCATCATACTGTACGGTGGAGGAGGCGTCTCAGCTGTACAATCAAAACATCACTGCTGAACCATCAACAAGATGGAAAGTATAGAATTCAACATCACTGAAAATAATAGTACCCACTATAGAGACTGGTGATAACTTATCATTTGACACATATGAAACTATTGCCGTGGTGACACTGTGGCTCAGTGGTTAGCACTGTCGCCTCACAGCAAGAAGGTCAGTTGGCATTTCTGTGTGGAGTTTGCATGTTCTCACCGTGTTGGTGTGGGTTTTCTCTGGGTGCTCCGGTTTCCCCCACAGTCCAAACACATGCACTATGGGTGAATTGAATAAACTAAGTTGGCCGTAGTGTATGTGTGTAAATGAGTGTGTATGGGTGTTTCCCAGTGCTGGGTTGCAGCTGGAAGGGCATCCGCTGTGTAAAACATATGCTGGATAAATTTGTGGTTCATTCCGCTGTGGTGACCTCTGATGAATAAAGGGCTTAAGCCAAAGGAAAATGAATTAAACTATTGCCAGGGCCAGATTTAACCAACTAAGCAAGGTAAGCGGCTGCTTGGGGTCCCAATAAATACCTAGAACGGGGGTGCCCAAACTTTTTTTCTTATGAAGGGCCAAAAACCTAACTTGATTGAGGGTGGTGGCCTAAAAGTAAATATACCAAACTATTAAAGTAAAGTTGGCATGGTAAATTTCAAGTTTATCTATATATAAAAACAAATAGAGTCTGTCGAGTGACAGTACATATCACAAATCTGATTCATTCACAGCACTGAGTTGAATAATTCAATTCCAGTTTGCGTTTTAAGCTCGATAATTAAACTAAGAAAAGGTTATGAACAATTAGAGATGATGATTTCTGTTAAAGGCATTTGCCCCAACCTTCCCCATTATTCTCCCTCTCTTTTCAGATGAGATGGTGGGCCAAATCAAAGGTTACCAAGGTAACCTTCATGCTGTGCAAACACAAACCAAGTTTTTTTTTTACAAATTTAAATGGATCAAGCATAAAATAATTCAGTTTTATGAAAAAAATCATTAAAATATTAAGTAAAGATAATTGTCCACGAAGAGATTTAGTCAATTTCATACAGTAAATATATTAAAACTCAACTTTTGATTAGTAATATATTGCTAAGAACTTAATTTGAACAACTTTAAAGGCGATTTTCTAAACATTTTTTTAAACCCTCAAATCAGCTTTATCTCTGTCACACATATCCGCCACAACCATACATTAGAGAGAAACATATATATTTAGCTTTCAGATTATATATAAATCTCCCTTTTTGACTGGTTTTGTGGTCCAGGGTCACACTTGCATAGTTATGCTGTTGTTCATTCATTCATTTTCTTGTCGGCTTATTCCCTTTATTAATCCGGGTTCACCACAGCGGAATGAACTGCCAACTTATCCAGCAAGTTTTTACGCAGCGGATGCCCCTCCAGCCGCAACCCATCTCTGGGAAACATCCACACATATACACACACACTCATACACTATGGACAATTTAGCCTACACAATTCACCTGTACCGCATGTCTTTGGACTGTGGGGGAAACCGGAGCACCCGGAGGAAACCCACGCGAACGCAGGGAGAACATGCAAACTCCACACAGAAACGCCAACTGAGCCGAGGATCGAACCAGCGACCTTTTTGCTGTGAGGCGAACGTGCTATCCACTGCGCCACTGCGTCGCCCCAATTATGCTGTTGTATAGTCATATAATCAGTGGCCTAAAATAGACAATCATCACTTACTGCAGTCATATCTGTGACAATATATCACAAAACAAAAAATGATTAATTGTGTCAGGCCTAAAAATGTCTAATCTGTGTTGTACCTGTGATCTGGTAAGGGCTGCCGGGCTCAGTGGCGCTGCTGGGAGAGTTTGGGAAGCTGTGCGCAGCGGGAGATGGGTTTAAAGAGCTGGAGGGAGATGAAGAGAAGGAGCTGCAGGGCATCGCAGGGAAGGAGTCGGGGAAAGTGGCATTTTGGGGCATCAGAGGCTCGTTGTGGAGGGAAGCATTTCTGAACTTGGCCAGCAGGCTGTGCTGAGGGTTGAACTCACTGTGACGGGGCACTAGCACCGGCGGTAGAACTGATTGAAGAAGAAAATAAGTGTTAATAAACAATAAATAAATATACACTCTAAACACAAGTAAAAAATCTGAATTTGTGACAGTATCAAACAGAGCTACCATCTATAAATCCAAAATCTTCAGGGGTAATTAATGTGTTGTGCTCTTTGGATAAGGCATTCAAAGAAATAAACAATGAAATCATAAGTCCAAGGCACTCGAAAAGAAAGTAAAGAAACTATTTAAAAGCCTTTATTAAAGGTGCAGTAGGTGATCTGCCACAATGCTAAACGGTTAGCCGAATATCTTAGACACAGTCCCTCCCCTGCCGTCCAAAGCCACGACTCTTGAAACACGAGCGCATGCACCTCAAAGATGACAGATAACCTCTCTCACGTGCTGTCCTATAGCAACTGCTTAGTGGTTGGCCGGCGGCCTGCAAGAATTACACTTACTACTTAGCCATACTTGCATGCTATTTCAGACCCAATGTTGAAAGTAGTATGGTAAACAATATAGGGAGCACGTCACAGGTTGAATATAAAACCAATTTCGCCTCTGTAAAGCAGGCTAGGCAGAATAACGCTATTCGCTGATGTTTTGTCGTTAAACTAAATAAAAATCTACATTATCGATACTGTAAAAGGCCCTTGTGAAATTGAAAATCATCACATCAGTCATTCGCCGGAAGATTTTAGTGGCTGAACAACAACACAATCTACATCAGCTTAGTCTGACTAAAATAGTTAAGGCATAACATTACGTGTCTAAAAGAAATACTTCAGCCATGGTGTCATCCTTTCTCGTGCAAAAGTAACTCCAATATTGATTCGGGAGTTTAAAAAGTTTTGAAGACAATCACCTACTGCACCTTTAACATTATTTAAAAAACAGCACTACTTAATACAGAAAATAATAGATCCAAGATAATAATCAATTTAACAGTCAATATTAATTTACTAATGGATGAGAGAAAAAATAAATAAATAAATAAATAATAATAATAAAATAATAATAAGAGTAAAACTATCATCTACTTGCTGAAACTGCTGGTTATTAGGGTAAAAAATTAACTAATATTTTGTCACCAGACTTTTTATAGTTGATTGATTACATTGATAAGATTGCATTGATTAATGACTTATTAACATCATTATTATACTTATCATTATAATTAATATACTTTACAGGTTAATATTAAAAATAAAATTGGAATAAAAAACAAAACTGGAATGTGTTAATTAAAAAAATAATAATAATAAATCACGAGTAACACATTAAATAATGTTTTTTTTGTACTGTCTGAAATGAAATAAAAGTCAAAGTAAATTTAGAAATTACTTCTTTTTTTATTTGCGCTTTCCATACTGTTCCACATTTTCTTATTTGGGGCTTTTTTTTAAATATTAAAACTGTTTAAAATTATTATTACTAATAAATACTTAACAGGTTAAAATTATAATAATTGTTTATTTACTGGTTTAATTTTTGAACTTTGAATAAAATAATAATAATTCGAATTACTGAATATTTAACAGTTCAAAATGATCATAGTGCTATCTCTTCACTGATTAAAAATTCTAATTAATATATTATCTGTTCATTATAATTATAATTACTTTAAAGGATTATAAAAAACATGAATAACTGAAATGACATTAGATGTCCTTCAGCTGGTTATTCTGTGTTTTCATTATAAAATAATGCATAAAAGCTGGTATCAATTCTGGTTTATATCAAATGTATAATTTCAAACTACACTACTGCTATAAAATTAAAATAATACAAATATATGTAACAATAAAATGACTTATTTTTATAAAGAAAAACAAATTATGATTATTTAAAAAAAATGTTTTCCAGTTCAGCAGTATTATAGTGATGTTTATTGCAGTATTTTCTTTTCATTTTTATTATTATTATTGTCATTATTCTGAAATAAGTTACAGTTCAGTATTTTTTGTAGATATATTTCTTTTTTGATTACATTTTTATCAACATTTATAATATTATTATTATATTTAAGTAATAATAATTCTTGTTGTTACTAATATTATTATATGGTTTTTATCATATATATCATTATTATATATAGTAAAATTAGTAACAGCGCTATTTCTTATTTTTAATATTAACAACAACAACAACAACAACAAAAATAATATAAAAATGATCATTAATAAATGTATTTGCTATTCAATTTGGTCTTAATAAATTAATTTATATGCAGTTTCATTGCTGGTAAAAGTAACTAAATAAATAAATAATAACCAATATTGCCTAGACATTGGCAGGTGTGACAAACCCCCCTGTTCACAGATAGGCAGACAGACACTAATGCATCGAGCTATAATCAATAAGCAGGAGAAAAACAAGAGAAAGTGGTCTGTGTATTGATCTGCACCTGGCGTCTCGACGCGGCGGTAATGATATGGGTTGATGCAGATCTCCTTCTGCTTGGATCCGAATGGAAACTCGCAGCAGTCGAGCGCTTTGAGCTCATGGTGGGACTGAAGGTCGGGCCAGCGCCACACTCTACAGTAAATAACATGAGGCAAACCTTTCCGATGAGACACCTGGAGCCTTCCGTCTAGAGAGCGAGGGATGGTCACGCATTTACTGGGCTGACCTGGACAGCTAAGAGCCTTTTCCAGTTCCTCCATCGCTCCTTTCTTCTTCTTCAGCTTCTTCACGAGGGAATCGACAGCCTTTTCGGCCCACTTTTCCTCCTCGTCTCCTTGCTTCCAGCCGAGCAGACGCTTCACAGCCGGACTGGTGAAGGAGAAGAGCGATGTGATGGAGGTAGAGGAGTGCATCGTGAAACGGGTTGATTTTAAATCACTTATGTGCAGGAGATTCGGGTTGTTTCTTGTAGACAATGATGTAGGATAAACGCCCTGACAGAGATGATTTCTTCAGGTGGTTGATGGTGATTATCTGGTAAAAAAAATAAAAAGATGCACGTCAGAGAACGTTTTATTTTATAAATAATTTGTGTTGTATTATAGTAATTATAGTATTAACTATTAGATAATGAGAGCTGGAAGAAAATATGGAAAAAATATGCACGACTGACATGGAAAAGTGTATTTACAAATTATTTATATATTTATACATATACACTTGAAGTCAGAATTATTAGACCCCCCCTGAATTATGAGCCCCCCTGTTTATTTTTCCCCCAACTACTGTTTTACAGATAGATTTTTTTCAACACATTTCTAAACATAATAGTTTTATTAATTATTTCTAATAACCGATTTATTTGTTTTTTTTTCCATAATGACAGCAAATAATATTTGACTAGATATTTTTAAGACACTTCTATACAGCTTAAAGTGACATTTAAAGGCTTAACTAGGTTAATTAGGTTAACTAGGCAGGTTAGGGTAATTAGGCAAGAAAAAATAGCTTAAAGGGGCTAATAATTTTGTCCCTAAAATGGTGTTTAAAAAATTGAAAACTGCTTTTATTCTAGTAGAAATAAAACAAAAAAGACTTTCTCTAGAAGAAACAAATATTATCAGACATATGTAAACATTTCCTTGCTCTGTTCAACATCATTTGGGAAATATTTAAAAAAGGAAAAAAAAAATCTAAGAATTAAAGAGGGGCTATTAATTCTGACGTATATAGGGCGTGGCAGTGGCGCAGTAGGTAGTGCTGTGCCTCACACCAAGAAGGTCGCTGGTTTGAGCCTCGGCTCAGTTGGCGTTTCTGTGTGGAGTTTGCATGTTCTCCCTGCCTTCGCGTGGGTTTCCTCCGGGTGCTCCGGTTTCCCCCACAGTCCAAAGACATGCGGTAGAGGTGAATTGGGTAGGCTAAAATGTCCATAGTGTATGAGTGTGTGTGTGAATGTGTGTGTGGATGTTTCCCAGAGATGGGTTGCGGCTGGAAGGGCATCCGCTGCGTAAAAACTTGTTGGATAAGTTGGCTGTTCATTCCGTTGTGGCGACCCTGGATTAATAAAGGGACTAAGCCGACAAGAAAATGAATGAATATATATATATATATATATTCATTCATTTTCTTGTGTGTGTGTATATATATATATATATATATATATATATATATATATATATATATATATACATATATATATATATATATATATTTATATACATATATATATATATATATACATATACATATATATATATATATATATATACATATATATATATACATATATACATATATACATATATACATATATACATATATATATATATATATATATATATATATATACATATATATAAATATATATACATATACATACATACATACATACATACATACATACATACATATATATATATACATACATATATACATATATGTATATATATATATATATAATTAAAAATGTTAATTTTAAAAATATAAATTGGTGATTATATTTTTCAAATATTAATAAGAACATAAATTTATACAAACTGAAATAGAAATAAATAGAAGAATCTTAAGTCTTTTAATTGAAATAATTGTTGTTATTATTATATCATTTTAGAGATTAATAAATATCATGATAAATAATTTTAAATATAAAATTAACTAAATTATTATTTTTAAATAAAATATTTTAAGTAAATGCAGTTTGCATTTGAGTAAATGTATTTTTTTAAATATAATTAAAATAATATTTTATTTATTTTAACAGAATTTCAAATAACAATTATGTCTTTAGTAAATCATAAATTTATATATTTAACATAAACAAAAAATAATGTTTTACTATCATGAAAAAATGACAAAGAACTTTTTAAAAACTGAGCAAAATAAATGTATTATATTTATACATTATATGCATAACAAACATAATAATATATTATAATATAATAAAGGTAAAATTATATTTTATTAGGTAAATATGGTGTACATTTTTGAAAGATTCACTCTTTAGAGTAGGGGTGCCAAAACTTTTTCTTATGAGGGGCCAAAAACCAAACTTGACCAAGGGCTGTGGGCCGAAAGTAAATATACCAAACTGTTACATTAAATATTGCATGAGTGCTATTCTAATGTATTACTAGTATTTGAAAATAACCACAAAATATTGCTTTAAATTATATGAACTAATGCAGTATGTAGTAAACAATCCCATACCACAACGGAGTTCAATGTTGAATACATAAGCTGCACCTGCTTTTGCTTTGATTTGCTCGCCGATGTCTTGTGTATTGCCCTCTATCAGTTAAGCATCAGTATTTACATTTTTAAAGATCAGGTTCATATGCAAAACAAAACTAACAAAAGGTTACATTATATTCGAAATGACAATTTCTGTCAACCCCAACCACCTCCCCATCATTCTCCCTCACGTCTCAAATGGGACAAATCAAAGGTAATGGTATGGGCCAACTTTGACCTGCGGGCCCTAGATTGCACATCTCTGATATAGAGCACAACTAAACAAAAACAGCATTTATTTCCTCAGTGCAGACCTCTGAATAACTGCTGAGTTATTGTTGTCATCAACAGGTCTAAACAGTGTTTCTCATCATTGCCCATCTCACCTCTCCCTTTCCTGAACAAGCTTTTCTGATGCCGAAAACGATCTGCCAAAAATCAATGTCGTTTGAGCACTTGAAACCAGAGATGCTCGAGTCCATCTTTAACCCGAGCAGGCAAATAATACCTTCTGAAAACATTACTGCATGTGATACCAGAGGTGTTTACGCCCCTATAGCCGAATCAAATAATCATATGTGACCCTGGACCACAAAACCAGTCTGATGTTGCACGAGTATACTTGTAGGTGGGAATAGTAAAAACTTTACATTTTTATTTTATGCCAAAAATCAAATGACTATCAAGTACAGATCATGTTCCATGAAGACATTTTGTAAATATCCTACTGTAAATATATCACAACTTGTTTTTTGTTTAGGAATGTGCACAGCTGATTGATTTACATCCAATTTTGTGAACATTTATGAAGTTTAAACCCTCAGATTCAACATTTCCAAATTGCTGTTTCTCTGCTAAATATTGTTCTCTTAACAACCCATACATTAATGAAAATGTATTTATGCAGTTTTCATGTTATGTATAAATCTTAATTTCCAAAAACTGACCATTGACTGTTTTTGTGTTCCTTGCGGTCACCTGTATACGACTCATATCAGTGTATAAAAACACACTTGAGTTTTAACCACGGCTCAGGCAGATCATTGTAGGGTGAACAGCCCACATCTGCTGTTCTCAAAGGCAGTGTGTCCTTATGAAACTGGCGTCTGGAAGTCTGAGTGCTGAGATAGGCTTAATCACCTAAACTCCCCCGCAAACGCGCTTACACATCCTTTCCATCCACTGACCGGTGTTTTTTTTTTTTTCCTTTAAGAAAGGTTCAAATGTAATAGTTGGCAACACTAATCCAGGTGTACACAACTGTCACGAGTCTTTAGAGTGGATGAGCATCATTAAACAGAGAGGCATAATAAACAAACAAACAAAACAAAACATACAATTTACGTTTACGCTGCCTCCCGGTGCAATGACTTAAAATAAGTTAAGTAACGTCCGTTGTACTTCAAATAAGTAACGTTAAGTAACTTTATAAAATATCTTATAAATTATATCTAAACGAGTTTAAAGTAGGCTACATGTGTTTTGTCATCTTATCAAACTCTGGCATTTAAGTTTTAAGTACAAAACAACATTAATAGTGGTACATAAAACGCGTTTTATCCCTTACCTCAGCGTGCCGGGTCGAATAATAGCTCCGCGCCGCCGAGCGCTGGGTCCCGCGCCGACTGGAGGTGTTCAGCGGGCGCGTGTGTTTGGATGCAGCGGCGTCAGTCTGACTGGAGCCTCAGCGCCTGCGTGCTGGATTCATCCGCTGCTCCTGGATCTCTCCCAGGACGGCAGACAGACACACACACAAACACTGGGATCATCCCATTCAAAAGAGTAGCTCCTCTCAGAGAAACACAGGTCACACACTGTGGGCAGCGGTGTTTCACTTTTAATTTGATTTAAGGCGCGGACAGATGTTGTCCCTGTCACAGGAAGTGATGCGCCTTTTGGAAAAAGCTGCAAAGTGAAAGTGGTTAGATTTTCACGACATTGTTAGATTATACGTTCAAATGAAATATTCTTTGAAATTGAACACAATAGTGTTTGTTATTATTATTTTGTCTAAACTTACTTATGTGGTTGAAAACGCTCCAGCAGCGAAATGTTGGTAAGGTAACACAACTACATTTTGTGGCTGGATACTGGGGAGCGTATGGGGTGGGTGGAATACGTCCCAATCACTCAGCCAGTCCATTTAGAAACAGGTGATTAATAAATATGAACGTAAACTTTTAGATCTCATTCAGCTGTCCCCCACTTTTAAAATGTCCTCTAAACCTAGGTTTGAACTATTGAAATAATAAACAGAAAAACAACGAGACTAATTATTTGATTACATTTTAAAAGTAATAGTTCACCATAAAAAGTAAAAACTATTCACTATTTACTGTTTTTCTAAACTTTTGGCATTTTTTGGTCATACGCAAAAAAAAGATACTTTGAAGAATGTTGAAAACCTGTAACCATTGATTCCCATAGTAGGAAAAACAAATATGCTATGGAAATCAATGACTACAACATTCTGTGAAATATTTATTTTTCTTTTCAACAGAAGAAACTCAATCTAGTTTGGAACAAGTTGATGAATAAAGTGATCTTTTTTATTTTTTAGAGTGAACAATTCCTTTAAGACATCAACAAACTAACAAAACTGCACGCATGTTGTTAATTTTAATTAATTTAACGCTTAATATGGTACAAGAAAAAGTCGTTTTATTGTTATAACTTTACTTTTTTTACAGAACGTTATCTGGTTCCATTGTGATATTTTAGCACATATATAGCGCTTATTTAGTTTTATACACACACACACACACACACACACACACACACACACACACACACACACACACACACACACACACACACACACACACACACACACACACACACACATATATATATATATATATATATATATATATATATATATATATATATATATATATATATATATATATATATTAACACTCCCACATTTTTCAAATAGTTTCTTCTGTGGAACACGAAAGATATTTTGAAGAAAACAGCCATCGACGTCCGAAATGATCTTTTTTGGGGGCGACCTAACTTACCCCTTTAAAATACAAACGCAAAACTACTACGATCAATTTTTCAAATGACTTTGTCATGTTTGTTATTTATTAGACAAAAGGTCATAAATAGTGTGACGTTTAGTCAGTGAATCATCGGAGGAGGATGCTGAAGCGGAACAACATTAATCACGTGAGCGGCTTCCCACTAAAATTTTAGTAGTAAACTTCTGAGTTGTTTGTGAGCTTTTTGAAAACCTAAAGTGAAAATACTGTCTGACAGAATGAGAAGCTGTCTGAGCACTATATATTCTCGTATTCCTATATATTGTCAAAATTAGTATTTGTTTTGGATTCCATTGAGAGGCTCAAGCCTTATTAACTTATTAATAGGGAGCATCGACCTGTTTCAACATGGAACTGTGAAGCCTAATATTAAAATAGTTACATTCAATTAATCTCATAAATAGTTTAAAACAGCTATTTAGTGAAAATATATCTGTTGTATGCTTGCAGACTTTCGTGTAAATCATAAATTCGCATTGTTAACGCAAAACAGACGGGTTGCCAGATTGGCGGAGCGCCAAGCTGTTTATCGATAGCCCTATTTTTCCTCGCCCTCCTCTGCGCGGATGGATACACTTCGATTGTGTGCGTACAGTGACTTGTCCAGTTAATGACGCAAGCCAGGATGGCGACAGAGAGTCTAGAAGTTTGACATTTTCACAGTTTACAACAACTGCAGGGGAACGTAACAATACTCCCAATAATGACAGCTCGCATATTTAGAGCTCTCTTTGATCAAATAAGTCTGGCAGGGGGGAATCTGCCTTCAATAAAAGCACACCGCAAAACGATCCTGTTCAATCAAGGTGCACACAGGATTATGTACATTACTGACGAGGCTTTACGTTTACTGGGGACAATACAATACTTCAAAAGCAGCTTTTATCTTTTAATCTAAAAAAAATAAATGTCCCATGTGAAATATTGTAACATAACCTCTTTTGGAGTGCCTGACAGGAACAAATGCCTTCCTGGTGGAGAGAAAGGGAGGACAAACAGGATGGTCTCCCCAGGGTGCAGAGCAGACCATTGAGTAAACCACATTAAAATCCCCTGAATACATGCCAGACAGGGCGACATTTCAGTCAACTGTGTTTGTATGCGTGGGTGTTATAAAATGTATACTCACCGGCCACTTTATTAGGCACACCTGTCCAAACGTCAACGCAAAAATCTAATCAGCCAATCACATGGCAGCAACTCGATGCATTTAGGCATGTAGACATGGTCAAGACGATATGCTGCAGTTCAAACAGAGCATCAGAATGGGGAAGAATAAGAAAGGTGATTTAGGTGACTTTGGACGTGGCATGGTTGGTGGTGCCAGATGGGCTGATCTGAGTATTTCAGAAACTGCTGATCTACTGAGATTTTCGCGCACAAAACCATTTCTAGGGTTTACAGAGAATGGTGCGAAAAAGACAAAATATCCACTGAGCGGCAGTTCTGTAGGCGCAAATGCCTTGTCGATGCCAGAGGAGAATGGCCAGACTGGTTCCAGCTGATAGGAAGGCAACAGTTACTCAAATAACCACTCGTTACAACCGAGGTATCCAAATGGGCATCTCTAAATGCACAGCACATCCAACCTGAGACGGACGGCTACAGCAGCAGAAGACCACACTGGGTGCCACTCCTGTCAGCTTAGAACAGGAAACTGAGGACAATAGAAGACTGCAAAAACGTTGCCTGGTCTGACAAGTCTCGATTTTTGCTGCAACATTCACATGGTAAGGTCAGAATTTGGCATCAACAACATGGAAGCATGGTTCCATCCTGCCATGTATTAACAGTTCAGGCTGCTGGTGGTGGTGTAATGGTGTAAGCGATATATTCTTAGCACACTTTAAGCCCATTAGTACCAATTGAGCATTGTGTTAACGGCACAGCCTACCTGACTGTTGTTGCTAACCATGTCCATCCCTTTATGATCACAGTGTACCCATCTTGTGATGGCTACTTCTAGCAGGATAACATGCGAATCATCTCAGACTGGTTTCTTGAACATGACAATGAGTTCACTGTACTCACAAGGCCTTCACAGTCACTAGACCACAATCCAATAGAGCACCTTTGGGATGTGGTGGAATGGGAGAATCATGGATGTGCAGCCGACAAATCTGAAGCAACTGCGTGATGCTATCATGTCAATATGGATCAAAATCTCTGAGGAATATTTCCAGCACCTTGTTGAATCTATGCCACAAAGGATAAAGGCAGTGCTAAAGGCAAAAGGGGGTCCAACCTGGTACTAGAAAGGTGTACCTAATAAAGTGGCCGGTGAGTGTATATTTGTGTGCCACTGATTTTAAACATCCTAATTAGTTTCTTTTCAAATTACAATTATTAATCTCAGCATTAAATGAAATCTGCTTTTCTAATGTGAAACTCATCATCCGTGCAATGTTTTCTTAATAGTTGCAAATGCAAAAACACTTAATGATTTGTTTTGGTTTTTATTTGGCCAAGAACCATCTGCTTTTTTGAAACCAAACTAATACATTATGTAAAAGAAAAACATGGAAAACAGCATAACAAAAATAGAAAGACAATCCCCTTTTGTGATCTCGGCACGGTCAGTGATAATAAAATGCTAATGGTTGCTGTTCACCGATTGCGTTCGCAGTGTACTCATTTGTGGCAATGCTAGCTCACGAACAGCACACTAGCTGTAACATCAGCTATTGAGTTTTCTTCTCAGACTCCAGTCTCCAGGCACCAGTGAGGTAACGCAGTCTGATAAAGATTAGATCACGACCCATCTGTAGCCAACTCCAGAACGGCACCAACTTTGACCCTAAAACATGCAATAAAAGAAGCCGTCATTACCTCATAGTGGAAAAAAGGTTAATTTTTGTGACAAATGTCGCCTGAAAATAGATATTAACTGTCAAGTGTTTTAATTGCCTGCACTTTACGTGATGTAAAGCATCAGGTCATTTAACTGCCTACACTTTAAAGTGCAATTATATTTCACAACTGACAGCACAAACCTTCAATCTCTGTCCAGTTAACAGCCACCTCCTCAATAGGGATATCAAAACACTGAGCAATGAAGAGAAGCTCCACATCAAACGCCCTGCAACAATTACAAAATAAAGGATTATTGAATTAAAGTTGCCATAATATAAAAATAGACAGGTTTTCATATGTTGTTTTAAATAATTGGTTTCTGCAGGTTTCTTCAAATCAAATTTAAGACTTTTTAACACCCTTTGAGGACCACTATGAATGAAATTTTCAACTTCTACAGGGCTAAACTCTAGGGATTTTTAAGAATGGTCCGGTAACTTCTGTAAATACTTTTTGTATTAATGGAGGATCATGTAAAGGGATGTGTTGCTTTAGTTTTCTTTAACTGATTGGGGAAATGAATTTGGAGAATTTGCTGTAAAATATCTAACACCTGTTGTGAATTGTATCTCTTTGCAATAAAAGAAGTTGTGATTGAATGTCGGCCAGATTGGGTAGCTTTACTTGGACAGAGGAAAGTTAAGACCTGTTTAAAATGATTTAACCCCTCCAGACCTGAATTATGTTCCAAATTTAAACAAAATGGGTTGTCATGTGATGTCCATTGTAATGGACGCAGGGTCTGAAGGGGTTAAGACCTACAACACAATATTTTAGTGAATTTAAGTGACTTTTTAAGCCCTAAAATTTTGTTTTTGAAATTTAAGACATTTTGAGACCCAGCGGAAACCCTTATAATTGCAGTGTTTATTATATACTATTTCCATGCACATTATTTTTATTTAAACGAAGAGTTCAGATGCAAAAACTCTCTAAATGCCATCTGAAATGTTCTTCTAAAATGGGCAATTTCTCAATCTCCAATGTTTAAATTTTTCCAATTTAACCATAAAATTGACCACCGTAAAAGTGAAATATCTGAACTTTTACATACAATTGTCATTTTGGAAGCACATTTCTGATGGCATTTAGAGGTTTTGCATTTGAACTCTTCATATGTCCTCATAATCTTTATTAAATATATAAACTCTACAAGAGAAAGGGGGCTTTGAGTTTGCATGTTCTTATCCAAAGACATGTGCTATAGGTAAATTGGGTAAGCTAAAATTGTACATGGTTTCCGCTACATTCATTTTTTCATCGCCAAAATTCATCCCGCCACGGCTACATCACAGCTTCTCATTCAAAACATTACATTTTTTAATAGCTGGTAATAATCGCACCAAAACGTATTAAAGGATAAGTGAATTATAACAGCGCAAAATTTTCTGTAAGCGTAGTAGTGCTGTGCGTTATTTGTTTAAGCCTTTAAGGTTGCGTGCTGACTGACTGACTGGCTGACTGACAGGTGTGTGATGCGTGAGGCCAGCAAACACGACTTATAGCCGTTAACTTTACTTCAGGATGCTCTAATACCGCTCTGTGGGTATTGGAGACATTCATAAATATTCCTAGCAAATCTAATAAATGTTGGAGACGTACTCGTAAACGAACTAAATCGCACTTCAGCAGTGTTTATTTAAGAGCGCACAGGAAGATCTGCAGTTGAGCAGTGTATATTTGAGGGCGTGCAAGAAGTTTTGTGCACGAGCAGAAGAAATCGGCGGCAAGCAAAGAGATCCGCATGATGTAGGCTATTACATAAACGTGATCTTGACTTCTAATACTGCGCTGACGACATTTGTCATTTGAAATACTGGAATCCATTCGGGCGAGACTGGTTTGGCATATGTTGAGTTGTGGAGCCTACACACTTGTCTGTAAATTATTTATTTATTATACTTAATTGTTTTTTATGCTTTCTTGATGATATTGTGTTGTGTCAGATATTCTATTGTGAAATGGCCTTTGTTTAGGTTATTGATTATTTAAGGTTAAGGTTATTGATTATTTTCTTATGCTGAAAACAATGAAAAATATATACATAAAAAAAGAAATGTGAGAAAAATGTAATATTCCTTAAAACACAAGTTTTATTTTTACACATTTAAAAAAATTCAACACAGCTCCCCCCAAGATCATTATTGGAAACTCTTACAGAACAAGATTGTTCCATCAAAGGCCGAATTACACAATTATATAACATATTAAGAGAAAATCATAAAGAAAATAAAAGACTAGCATAAATCCAAGATACAAATATGGATATCCCAGTAGAGGACTGGAATATAATTTGTTTGAATGCACAAAAAACATTAAACTCCCGATTGAGATTGCTACAATATAATTGGATAATGAGAACTTATATTACTCCTGTAAGATTAAATAAATTCAACCCTAATATCCCTGATCTTTGTTTACAATGCATTGAGATACAAGTTGCATTTTTTTCATTGTGTGTGGGAGTATGAAGAGATACAAAGATTTTGGGTGGAGGTAGCTCAATATATTTTACAATTTATTTCCACTGCAATTCCTTTATGTCCTGAATTATGTATATTAAATATTTATGAAGACAGTTGTGCTTTGTCTACTAAAGCAAGAAAACTGATTGACTTAAAGCAATACAGTGCCTTGCTTGTATTAAACATATGTTGGAAAAATGTTGAATCGCTCCTCCATTGGACTTTGGTTGAGAAACCTTATTACATGTTTGGCTCTTGAAAAGCTCACATACATAAGGAAAAAATCCTCTGAATTTTGTGAAATCTGTGAGGTGTTTTTGAACTTTGTAAAAAACGGAGATATTGAAGAAGCTCTGGAAGTCTGAAACTGTGGAATGTTAATTGGTGCTTGATTAGAATTATTATTTTTATTTATGATTATTATTTTTTATTGTTTATTTTATTAATTAATTAATTTACTATAAAATATAATGAATAATTATTATTATAATTTTTATTATATTTTTATAATTATATATTTTTTAATAAGGCTTATTATTTAACCTTTTTTTCCCCCTAAGCCTGTCTAGGGTAAGTTTTGGGTATTGAGGTTTGAATTAATGTAAAATCTTAAAATCTTGACATGTTATACAAAAAAAAGAAATGTGAAAAATACCTAATTTACTTTAGGTCAAGTGCCTTTTTTCTGTTCAAAACAAAACATGATATGAATAATGTTGGAAAAATGCAGCCATTGACATCCATAGTATGAACTAAATCCTATGCGGAAAAAAGAAAACTGCAGATTTTTCCAACATTCTTCAAAATATATTCTTTTGTGTTTTCTTTTTTGTGAAAAAAGAAACTCAAACAGGTTAAATAAAGAAATAAAAGAATTGTTTTGCATGAACTATCCCATTTTAACTGTTGTACTTTCTTTGCATGTTGTAGAGAAGCTTTAAAATCAATATGAAAATGATAGCATTGATTAAGCAAGAAAAAAAAAAATTAAGAGCAGGACTATTATAGGATTGTTTTGTCAACCTAAAAAACAAACTAGATTGTTGTGATTTGCTATTGGTGCATCAGATAAGACCAGAAAACACCTTATTGGAGAAGTAATGCCATACAACATAAATTGCTCTCATACTGTTTAACTACTGCCCAGAAGCTACTGTTTTGGAAAAAAGTAATCCCCTACATGTAAACTGTGGCTTGGAGAAATTACCTCTATGTTACATTTGGAGCAAATTAGAAACTATTTGAAAAGAAAACTCAAACAAAACAACATTTGCAATCCTTGTTACCTTGAAAAAAAACCTTGGAATAACGCATCATTTCTGTAATGTTTTAATGTGCTTTCATCATACTCTGTTGTTCAAACAGGTCTTTGTAAACAAGTTGGCTTGTTGTGTGGATGTTTTTTATTTATTATTATTATTATGATTTTCATATTGTTTTTCCTTTTTTTCTTTTCATTTGCTTTGCCTACAGTATGTTATATGTGGACAAAACATGTAAAACAGAGAATCCTTTTCTTTCTGAAAATGTCTTCAGTAAAATGCATTCGACAAAATAAATAAATAAATGGTAAGCCTCCTTACCAGCGCTCCACATGCAGACTGGAGAAGGTTTTCAGAGCAGCCTCACGAGTGAAGAGCTTAAAACCACACTGTGTGTCTTTAATCCCCCTCACACAGAAGAACCACACCAGGAAGTGGAATCCATACATCAGGAACGTCCGGAACATGGATCGCTGTCAGGAGAACAAACAGATGGCAGAAAATCCCCAAGTATTCACAATTTCTTCATGATCATTACTGCTTCACACACCAAGGACGATACTGATAAAGATATGGTTTCCTTCTGAATGTAAAAGCTATAACAAGGTTAAGACCACAGCAATAATGATACAATTCAAAAAGTTTATTTGTAAAGAGCTTTTTAAAAGTAAATATTGTTTCAAAGCAGCTTCACAAAACATGCACAATACTGCATTACAATCAAACTCAGAAAAGTTAAGGTTATTAGTGACCAGAACTTTATTAGTTACTAATAACTTTAACTGTTAAAAGCTACTAGTTAATTAGTTAAAGTTATAATATATAAACACAGTTAACCTGCAGTTATATAGTATATCTATCTCGTCTACCCAAACTGATCTTTATTTTGTACTCTCTATTAAATTCAGGTCAGGTGATTGGGTGGACCATTCTTTAGCTTGATTTTCTTTCTCTGAAAGCATTTGAGAGTTTCCTTGTCTGTTTTGGTGTCTTGCTGAAATGTCCACTCTGGTTTCATCTTCATCATCCTGCTAATGTAGATGCTGGACTGAAGCAACGAATATTCATTTACAATGACGAAGGGCAGAGGGTTGCTGAAGAACTACTGAGAGATTTCAGCTGCTGTCTGGGCTTTCACTGCCTTTCTACACCTCCCTTTCTTGATGTGTTCAATACTTTTTCCTGCAACATTTCAATGTATTACACATAGCTTTATTTGTTAACTAATTCGATTTGTTTTCCTTGGTTGTTTCCAACAGCCAGGGGAAATTTCAAGTCAACGGCAGCTTTAGAAATATTTTTTTCTGAGAAAAATGGTGACGTGTTCACTACTTATTTTCCCCACTGCAAAGGGCTTGTGCAATTATACCTTCATTCAAAGATGCTCTAATGGTAATCTGGACAATTAACAGTTGGTTATACCCAGGCCCACACGGAATCTGTGCGCACAGAATTCCGCAGATTTTTAGCCCATCATTAATTCTGTTTATTTACTTGAGTAAATGTGTGTAAATCTAAATTTATTTAGTTTTTTAGCTAATTACAGTAATATTATTGACTAATATAAAAATGTTAATTTGATTTATGTACAATACAGTTTGTTAAGTAATATTTTCTGTCTTTTAGTAGAGATATTATATGAGAGACTTGCTTTGTTAACCAAATAAAGTGAATCTAATTAGATTTGCAATTTAAAGATTAAATAAAAGTTAAAAAGGTATAACTTTTTATTTCACTAATTAAGGTTTTAGTTACAAAACTCCCAAAATAATTCCTCAGAAATCCGCAGATTTTAAACAAAATTCTACCTAAGTTATACCTTCGGAATGAATGGCGAGAAGTACATGAAAGCTATACTGTATGCAAGCCAGACTAGTAAACTGTAACATAAAACATTACAGCAGCTCCAGAGTCCACTGCTAGATTTGACAGGAAAAAAAAACATTCTAAATTCTCAATTAGATTGGATCGGTTACACAAGCTGGATTGTGGATGTGTGCATTGAAAAAAAAAATATCTGAAATTCAGAAAACTCTGAACACAGGTCAAATTTCTCTCAAGACATCTGCGTGACAAGACAAAGTGTTTGTTTTTGGCCTTGGTTTATATCTTACATTTTGCAAAGACACCAAGATCTTTCAGTTGGAAACAAAATTAGTAGTTATTATTTTAATAATGTTAATATTAGTAGTAATAGTAATAGTTTTCTCAAGTCATGTATAAGATTTTTTCAACAATTTTTAAAACTGATTGTAATAACTAATTTCTAATAAGTATTAATATGATGACAGTACATAACATTTTTAAAGATGCTAGGATTCAGCTTAAGCTGCAAATTAATTGCCTAACTAAGTTAAATGGGTTAACAAGTTAGGTTAATTAAGTCACTGCACAACAGTGGTTTGTTCTGCAGCAAATTGGGAAAAATATTAAAGGGGTCGATAAACTTGACTTTGGCTGGAATATTTTCTTTTATGTAAAAAATGCTTAACTAACAGAATTAAGACTTTCTCCAAAAGAAAAATATAATAGGAATAACTGTAAAAAAAAAGTCCATGCTATATTAAAAATCATTTTGAAAATCATTTTAAAAGTATTACAATTTCACAAGTGGGCGAATCATTTTGTCTTCAACTATGTATTTTGAATGTATATTTAATTTATTTAGAAACTGCAGTGCACAAGTTAAAATAAGCAGATCCGTATGGTAATCTTTATGCGAATATAGTCATCATTAGATTTACATTTGTCATTATAGGGTGTGAACAACATATTGAGAAGCATCGTTTACCTGAGCCACTGATTCTTTTTCTAGGTGAGCTCTGGATCCGCAGGAGATGGCCATGTTATCCTGCACGGACATATGAGGAAGACATTTTCAGATTTTCTGACAAGTCTATTAATCATGTGATAACTCTTATCTGCTGTTTTGTCTTCACATGGATATTGAATCCACATACACCAAGTGTCGATTTTTTTATTTACAAAACAATTGCGACTCACAGGCTTCTCTGTGATGCTCTCAAGACCTTCTTCCACCTTTTCAACATCAGCAAATTTAGTGGCTCCGTCAGCATCAGCCATTAGAATAAGTCGCCCGCGACAGCTCAAAGTTCCCTGCGTACAGATAAACAGTCATGATTGACATTTATATGTTTAACTACTTAAATTTTAACTTGATTTAACAATTAGCTGAAATTGAGTTGATTGTTAATTTGTTAAATTAAAAAAGTTGAAGCGGAGCTTTTATAAAGTAATATTCATCATTAAAATTTATCATTTTAATTGTGTAAAACAATAGCTGTTAAATAGTAGTAGCACATTCAGTAGTTTATGATTCATCGGTGTGTTTTGCATTTATTTACTGTTTTCAAATTGCATTTTGGGATGTTGATCTTAGTTTCAGCCACTTTTGATGTTGAAAAGTTTAACAAATTTGTTGCCATTTGTTTTATGGTTTGGTCTCAAAATTGTGCTTCAAAAAGCAGGTAAATCCATTTAAAAGTTTTAATAAACACAAAACACCCATGAATGACAAGCTACTTGTGATTACATTTTGTTTTCTGTGAAAATAAAGAGAAAGATTTAGGATAGTTACCATTTTCACTGCACCCCCTTTTCCACGGTTCTTTACCAACGTCAAAACTCTCACTTTTTTTGCTCCATACTTCTTGGTGTATTTCATGGCAACCTGAAAATACATATTACATTTTCAAACAAGCACATTAATTGTATTCAGTAATTTATTAGAACAACTAATAGCAATACGAAGCAAATCCACCTCTGTAGTTTTGTCTTTGCTGCCATCATCTACAACAATAACCTCATAAGTGAACGACGGATTCTCCTTCTGCAAAACAAGAGTCACTTTAGATTCAGCACTGACATCTAGTGGCAAAAACAATCAGAGATTTACAGGACAATTCTTGAATTTTTATTACATAAATTTATACGACACTATGTTTTTGTAAGCACATATGCTATAATACAAAATCACAGCTGACGTTTTTATTACAAAGAACAACAAATGAGGCATTTATAACCTGTTGTTTCATAAGTGTAAGAAAATCATGAATGAATAACACACCTGTCTTTTCTCCAGGTAGTCCATTGCTTCATCCATCATAACAGGCACTGTGATAGGACAGAGATAAGTATTATCAATATAAATCCTCTTTAATCAAAGAGCAGATTGAAAGTCGTATTTGATATATCAAAGATGTATCCCATTTAGGTGTGTGCATCAATCATATTGTGATCATTTATTTTCAGAAAATAAATATTTGAGACACTGGACACTTTACATGCAATTATTTGCTTTTTATACAAACCTAAATTCATTATTGTAAATTCCCAATGGCAAATGCTTCCACACAGAAAGTGTCTAATGTCTCAGATACCTTTACTATAAATAAAAACAAAATCAAGATATGAATAATTTCCATCATCATTCAGCAGAAGAGATATTTATGCAAAAATAAAACTTAATCTGAACATTTTAGTTTAAAGGATAGTGTCAGCGAATAAGGAATTTAATAACAATTAATTTAGTAATTAGCCATAAAATAATTCTTGTTCTATATATCCCTGACAAGATTTTTTGTGTCTATTCTGTGAATCACATTAAAATGCATGACAGTCATTATGATTGGCAAGATTGTGTTTATCAGTGGAGTTTGGCTAATTTTCATCTGTGTTTGCAGTAGAGCTGCACAATATCTAGTTTCAGCATCAATATCGCAATGTGCACATCTGAAATAGTCACATTTTGAAGTGCAATCTTCAGTTTATATGTTGGGATTATAGTTTTTTCAAGGAGTCACAGATCAGAACAAAGAAGATTTTGGAATTCACTGAAGAGCTGAACCACAATGATGTGAAAGTTTAACATTTGCATGCGTTTTTAAGGCTTGTGAATGTGTATGCATTCAGGCACAAGAGTTTAAAAGTATTCAAGCATATGAAATTGAAAAGATGCATTTATTGAAGTATCTATATGATGAAGACTATATAGTGTTATTTTACATTCAATTATTCAATGTATGCACCTGAATATGGTGAGACTCTTCCCAATAATAATACAGAATAATCTTCCAGAAAAATCCCAATCAGTCTAAATTATGAATTCTTTCCAAAGAGAGCCATCCAAGGTGTATGGTGAAATTGTACTCGTATCACAATATAAATCACAGCAAAACAAAATATTGCAATGTCAATTTTTTCCAATATAGTCTAGCTCTAGTTGTGGGTTGTTTTTATTATTCAACGGTCTAAAGTCTTGAGAAAAAAAAAAAAGATTTTGTTCATCATAGTCCCCTAAGATTTGTGACTGGTTCATTTGCACGCATACATCATTGTAACTATACATATATATATACATATATATATATATATATATATACATATACATATATATATATATATATATATATATATATATATATATATATATATATATATATATATATATATATATATATATATATATATATATATATATATATATATATGTATGTATGTGTATATATATATATATATATATATATATATATATATAAATATATATAAATATATATATATATAAAATTCACAGAATGGACCTCCTTACAGTTAAGGAGAAAACAATATGTTTTAGTTTTCATTTTTAAAGCTTTAGTTGGTAAATTACCACAGTATATATCAAATTTTACACACAGAGTTAGGTGGATCTGTATTCTCCAAGTATGCTCCATATGTATGGAATGAGCTTCAAGATATACTACATATGAAGTCATACCATCGATCACTATAGTTAAAAATATTTTAAATACTGTTAATTTAGAACAGTGGACGTTTTAACAATTGACTATGGTTTATACTATTTTTGTGTGTCTATGTGTTGTGACATGTATTTATTATTATTATAAAATCTTTTTTTTTTTTTTTGCAACTTTGTCCTATGCTGCCTGTCTTGACCAGTACTCCCTGGTAGAAGAGGTAATGCATCTCAATGGGGCATTTCTGGTTAAACAATTAAATAAATAGATAAATAAATAAAGCTTTGAGATATCGGATATATTGTATTTTCCTGAAATTGTGGCGTTGAAATATTTTACTCAACCAAATGTATATTCTACTAATGACAGAAAAATACTAGGTTGATTAAACAAAGTACATGCACAAGAAATGTGCAGGTAGGCCTGTCACAGTATCTATTTTTATTGTAAAATATATTGCACCAAAATATATTGCGATAAACTATATTATTGTCATTTTAAGACCATTTTATGCCACTCATTATATAATGTCAGACACTCAGAATGCAAGTACACTCTTCCAAAGAACACAACATATTTCATTCTTAAAATTATTTAACTTAATTATAGTCATTTTAACAATTTATTAAATTAGGCATTGGAATCAGAATGTGAAAGCGCATATCCTAAATAAATAATAATAAATGTTAACAAAAAAAGTGCAAAGTAAAAAGTAACAGAGGCTGCGATATCTGCTACCAGATCTATTTTCAGTAATTTATAGCAAATACTACAGTGTTGTTTTAACCCTATTGACACTGACACCTTCAATAGAGTTAGAAATGTTGCTAAAAATGTTGCTAGAATATATGGAATGTATGTATTTTATGTATGGAGGCGATATATATTGCATCAGCAAAAATGATTGAGGTCATGTCCATGGCATGTGTTGTAGGATTAGTTGATATATTGATTATTGTGGCAGGCCTAGGTGCAGGTCAGTATCCTTAATGCTGATAATCCACAGGGCAACATTTCGCGCAATGTTGCAGGACAATTTTGCAGAGTGATGTTGGTTGGCTATTTTTCTATTAAGAATGGGCAACAATGTCCCAGATTATCTGTATTTTGTTTAAATGTTTATTTTTTGTTTTTATCTTACTCCAGAATATTTTGTAAAGATGTTTGTGCAAATCCCTTAACTGCTATCTCTGATATTGTATGTGAAAATATCAATTTGTCAAAAAGTGAATTATACTGCATTGTCTTTACTTCTCTTTTGGCAAGACGCTTGATTCTAAACAATTGCAAATAATAATTTCCCCCATATTTTAAACAGTGGGCCAGTGATGTGTTGCATTTCCCTAGTTTGGCTTGTATTATACTGATCTATTATACTGCTGTCTTCATTTTTTGCCTTTGTTTATATATACACAATGATAAAGCAATATATATATATATATATATGTGTGTGTGTATATGTATGTGTGTGTGTGTGTGTGTGTGTGTTGTTAGTCATTTAGATTAATGAATGTACTGTATATTCTTTTCATTATTTTAATAAATATAAAGGGGGGTGGGGGTGGTGGACAACAGCATTGTATCTGTAGCCCATTGCTATAATTAGTTAGGCTGTGTCTCACCTGGTTGCCCATTTATGGCATCATTTCCCAAAGTTGCCCTGCAACATTGCTAAAAAAGTTGCCCTGTGTATCATCAGCATAAGAAAATGTGTAAGTGTGTTGTTTTCGTGTCCATAGTAACAGTTAGCAGGATTTTTTTGAAAAATAATAACTAAAAAAAGTCAATTTAATCTCTTTATATTTACTAATAAAAATGATTTTAATAGGAAAATGGTGTTAATTGTGATGTAAAATATATTCAAACAAAAAAAGCATTACAACAAGCAGCTGAAGGATTTAATTCATAGGCTGTTAAACTGAAGGTAAGATGATTTTATCTAGGAAAATGTAATGTTTACCATACCTTAATAAAGATAAATAAGAGAAAGAAACACTATAATGCATTCAGTGACGTCAAAAATTAATTTTTACTTATTTAGAGTTTAGGGATTAGGCTAATCTGTCCACTTCGTTGTGAAAACCTGGCAACCCTTAAAAGTTCACATTCTAATAAGAAAAATAACGTAACAGATTTGTACTTGTACTGAAACATATAATAAACAATGTAAGGAATTATGTCAACGGTTTTATGAGAGTGGTTATTCTACAAAATGGATTAAAGAAGCTGCGGCTCGTTTTGAAAATATTTGAAAATCACCAAAACCATCAAATACACAGATTTTGATTATTTAGAATTCAGCTTTGAGTAATAAGTTTGCAAATAAAGCATGAAGACACAGGCATATATTAAATTCAGATCCTGTTATGAGACACTGTTGTAAAGGTCCTCTATGAATTGTGTTTAAATGAGCGACAAACAAGACCGCATCAAGGTTCTGAACGTTCTGATAATCCTTTTTCAGTCACTGAAGGTAATTATAGATGTGGTCAATGCACATAGTGTAACTAAACGTCAGTCCTTTAGTCATCCCATTCAGGTAAGCAGTTCAAGATTAAAGGAGTGATTTCTTGCAATACAAAAAAAGTGATCTACATCAGGGGTTTCCAAACTTTTCAACCTGCGACCCCCAAAATAAAAATATCAGAGACTTGCGCCCCCAATATCCTCTGATGTGGTTATATATATATATATATATAAACCTTGCACACAATGGGCCCAAGTCTTTTCATCGTTTAAACGTGAGTGGTGTAAAGATTTAACTTGGTGTAAAAGTTTAACCTGGTGCCATAAAAACTATTCGCTGCATCTGATGCAATTTCTGTGTTTTTAATATAACATTATAAAATGGTACACAATATTGTACAATGTTTTTTTTCTGTATGTTACTGGTAAAATATGGTAATTCTAATAGCCTAATAAAATAAATTTGTGATTTATCTCGCGACCCACTTTGAGAACCACTGATCTATTTGATTAAATGTCCTGTGGTTTAGGTTACATCGGTAAAACAACACTGTTAAAAAACGCAAATTGCTGAACACAGAAGTAATATACGATTAAATGATCAATGAAATCCTATTTCTGTTCATTTTCATGCATTGAATCATAACCTTTCAACATTACGATAAATAGACATTGAACAAGTGAAGCTTTCGAGAAAGGGTGGGGATATAGACAGACTTCTATTGCTGAGGGAAGCTTTTTACATTCATACATTGAATACTTTGTCTTCAAGGGGTTTAAATTTGGACTTTGATATGAAATCTTTGTTGTAATTGTAAGTTTATCCACGTCTTATATTTACACATGTATTCTGTTGTTGTTTCTCTTGATTTTTTGTATTATTATTTTTTCTTGTTTACTTGTTGGTCAATTGGGGTGATTATTGTTTGGAGGTGTGAGGTGTAGATCTTGACTATTTCTTGAATTCTCATATTTTTGTTGTTTAACCTGATGAAGTCCATGTAGGTCGAAACATTGTTTTAATACATCCCTTCTGAGAGCTAAAGTGGCAGTGTGCTGATTTTCTTTTTACTTTTTCGAGAATCTCAGATGTGCACATACTTCTGTTTTTGGTTGCTAAATAACGTGCAGCACATTTACTGTTTACACACTTGAAAATGCATTCAAACCAGCTCACATCGGAGTTCTTCGTTGTATGAAGGGACGACCACAGACAGATCTATTGAAGGAGGCTCCATCAGACTGGGGAAATCCTCACGCTTGCCATCTGCAGTCAGGAACTGTTTCTCCTTCTCGTGGCGAGTCTGATCGACCATCTTCGCAGTGACGTGAGCAGCAATAACAACCTAGAGATGAGAACAAACAGGTGTGACTCAGAGGAGAAACCAACTCGTTCAACTGGATGAATTGGTGAAGATGAACACAAGTGTCACTATATACAGCTGAAAATTGAAAATTGTCTGGACGTACTGGATTTACTAGATATGGGTTCGAATAAATTGTTGAGGGTGAAGTTTGTTCCTCGCCACTGGCTTGCTTGGTTTGGGACTTGTGGAGCTGCGCATCGGTGGAATTGCTCTTCAGTGTTTGGACTTTCAGCATTGAAAATTAAACCACAATGAACTAAACTGAACTTCAACTCTGAAAACTGGACGGACAGTTTCAGTCTACTAGATCTTCTATGTTAAGCTGCTTTGACACAATCTACATTGTAAAAGCGCTACAGAAATAAACATTAATTGAATGGGTTTTAATTGTTTTTTAAAGGTCTGATGACATTTAAGTCAAATAATATATTGCCTTTTCTTTTCTTTTTACTACTATTTCTTTTTACTATCATTTATTTATTTTTTGCAGATAATAAACATTGGTCGACTAACATTGACACATTTTCATTTGTCGTGATTAAAAATCATATAGTTATTCCACCAATTTAATTAAACACCAAGTTAAAATGCTGGTATTGCGTCCTCTAAACCGGGGTTGTATAGAGGGCCAAAAACCAAATATCATGGAGTCGTAGGCCAAAGGTAAATATATCAAATTATATTACATTAAAGTAGCCATGAGTACATTTCTTAATTTATTGTAAAACAATACTTTAATTCATATTTACTAATACAGTATATCATATGAAATGATAACTTCAACAGTAAAAACAAACAATCACATTTATAACACAAAGGAGTTCAATGCTGGGGTCCGTTCTTCGTACGTGGATTACTCAGTTAGCTGGATTTGGATATTGACTATTTGACATGATCCAGGATCGTTTCGTTCTTCAAAGCTGACCTGAGAGTTGTTGTCATAGCAACAGTTCTGCTAGCTCAAACCTGATCGGAAGCAGGTTCAATTCATATGAACAGGATTAGATCAGGTCAGTTCAAGCAAAGAAAATAGAAAAAGTATCGAAATATGATATTTTCTTACAGTAGTAGTTATATACACTTGGGAAAATAGTCAAAAAAAATTAACTATATATATAATATATATATATATATATATATATATATATATATATATATATATATATATATATATATATATATATATATATATATATATATAAAGTTATAGTTATTAATAAAATAAATAAAGTTATATTAACAAAACTTATGCAATCTGCACCCTCAAAATGAAAGTACAAAGAAAAAATTTATTGATATGAACTTTTTAGATCGCTTTAGTACAATTTGTGTATGATAATAGAAATGCACAATATGTGACTTTTTTAAAAAAAAAAAAAGAAATAATACATTAATGCAGTCATGAACATGTTTTGACAGTAAATATGCCAGTGATTATGCTTCACAAAAGTTGCAGACACCTTTACCAATATCAAAATGCTTTTGTAAACATCCAGTTATTCCATACAGCGATTAAAAAAACAGCTACTGTAATAAAGAAAATATTTTTTAAATGTAGAACTAAATACATTGATATGCATTGAAATACACAATGAATACTCTTGACACATGAAAGTGTAAAGCCTGCAGTTCACAACATATGTGGAAAGTTATTGCGCTTCATATTTAACCAACCGTCGACTGCTAATTTGATGTAATTTTGCTCACATGGATAATTGAATATTAATCAGATGATGTCATTACGCTGCTGTTTCGTCAGCCAATCGTTGCATTGCTGATCATGATTTCGAGGATCGATAGATCTGTCCTTCACAACACACGCAGCGATCTCAGATCAGTTAATCCAGACATTTTAATCTGATTCACGAACTTGTTTGAAGAACCAAATTAGCCAGAGATCAGTTATCAAGATTAAAAGATCCAGGATCGGCAAAATCATCTTAGATTATTTAAGCGAGGTACGAAGAACGGACCCCAGAACACACTAGTCAAGTAGAATCTGCCTTTACCTTGATTTGTCCACAATCCATAGGGTGACGGTATGAATATTTAAACTAAATCTGATTCAATTACACCATTTAACTGACACATTTCAGTTAGCTTTTAACAATAAAACAAACAAACAATAGGTTACATTAGATTTGAAATGACAATCCCTACTATTCTTCCTCTCTTCTCAGATGGCATGGCAGGCCAAACCAAAGGTTACCATGGGCCAACTTTGGTCTGCAGTCCCTAGTTTGGGTATCTCTGGTCTAAAGGCATTAATGTAATATTTCTGAATGGGATCTTTATCTTTACTTCACAGTAAACATCATGCTGTAAATGACTATTTATATTTTAATGTTGGAAGAGATGTCATCAGTTATTTGCAGAAGAAAACAAAAATGACACTTTACTCGAACACAAAAAACTATCAACTGTAAATCCAGTAGATATAGAGAATTCCTAAAAGATCTCAATTATTTCTTACACACACAATTGAGGTAAAATTGGTTTTATATTCACAGACACCTATATTCACACATTTAGACTTCCTCCTCAATAATATACAGTGGTGTAACAAATTACAAATACTCAAACTACTGAGAGTAGTTTTTCTCAGAAATTATAATTTCCTAAGTAGTTTTTTAACGGTGTACTTTCATTTTTCCTTGAGTACATTTTTAGTGCTGTATCTGTATTTTTACTCCACTACTTTCAATCTGCAGTCACTACTTAATTTTATCTTGTCTATGGGGATTAGAAAAATCAGTCCTGTGATTCCTGTCCAATCAAATCGCACATAGAAGGTAAATCATGAACTACCTCAAGTAATGGGCGATTTATAAATGCAGCAAACTATTTGGAAGCATTAAAGGTGTCCAAGAAGATATCCAAAATCTTTATCCACAATGACCCAGAGATTATTTAGATGCAGGTCACTGATGAGAAGATGACGAATGTTTACTTTATGATACCGAAATGGCCTTAAACACCCAGCAAGCACAAGATGTCAACATGATGTCAAATTGACATTATACCCCAATGTCGTAGGGACGTTGCATTTTTTTAGGATATGAAAATAGGGTTTACATCAGAACTCAACATCAGGCTGACATCAATGTCCAAACTAAAATCAACGCCTAATGATGTTACAGTTGATGTTGTGTGGACGTTACCACTATGACGTCTATCAGACGTTGGATTTTGGTAGCCATATCTGATGAAGACATACCTGGCTAGACATTGAATTTTGGTTACATGATGCCACGACCTAAATCTAACCTATTATTAACGTCTTATGACGTTGTGTGCCTGCTGGGCAATAACTAAATGCACTACAGAATGTTACGTTTACACACATCCACACTGCATCAGCTTTTTAGTGTAATACTTATTACTCTTGAGTAATTTTGTAAGGTCTACTTTTTACTCATACTTTGAGTGATACTTTGTCTTCTTGCTCTTTTACTCTACTTCTGAAACCTGGACTTTACAAGAACTTCTATGTTAAGCGGCTTTGACACAATGTACATTGTAAAAGTGCTATATAAATAAACATGAATTGAACTGAACTACATTTTTAGGCAAGTAATAGTACTTTAACTTAAGTATGATTTTTCAGTACTCTTCACACCACTGTTAAAATAATTTCAGAAAAGTATTTTTGCAAATTCTAAATAGTGAAATCACATTAGCAGACACTGACTATCAAAGTACAACATTGTTCACAGACAAATAAATAGTGCAAATGTTGTTTTCAAGTCATACATGCATGAGATTTCAGACTGAATATTTAAAGTACCATAGTAAACAATCTGGGGAGCATGTTAAAAGCAGCCACAGAAAGAATGTGCGAATATAAAACCATCTTTACCTCAATTACACACACAAACACATAAATATACAAAAACACACCTAAGAAATCAAAAAAGGATCACAATAACGAGTAATAATGATAAGTTACACAAACCAAGCGTTAATAAGGGACATAAAAACAGACACAATAACACAAACATTTATATAAATGGATATATAAACGTACCAGTAATAAGACGACCAAAGCCAGGATCAGCGAATACTGCAATAAGTCACATAAACAGAACTCCATCCTCCATATCTCAGTCAACATATTGCTCTGCAGAGACGCTGACAGCAGTTTACCGCTCAGTTAAAGCACGCGGAGCGTTAAAAACAGCCTCTCTGTGACTTCTCGAGGCGGGACATATATGAATGGATGTCGTACTAAATTACGGAATAAATACTTAAATCTCCATTGTTGAACTTTACTTCCAGTCACAGAGAAACACCTACGCGGAAGTCGCCTTGACAAACCACATCATCACAGCCATGATCACAGCGGGCGAAGAAAGCGCAGATTCCGCCGTGACCAACTGAAATAGCGCCACACACCAGAGCGGAGGACGCGAAGTTCTCCGCTTTTACGTCACTGCAGTTATTCACGTGGTGCTTCCAAACATCATGGCGGCTGGTTTTAAGTGAGCTACATGTGCAAATTGTTTTTATAATACTATTAATGATTTATATAGGTGTCTAAATAGTGAGGTGATGATTTCGCTATTTTATTTCAGCTGAATCATGTTGTGTTATTGTTTATTTCAGAACCGCAGAGCCTCTTGAATATCACCGGAGCTTTCTGGTGAGAGTTAATCTTTATTCATATTTAGATTGTGGTAGTTATAAAGTTCTTTTTGTTATAAATTGTTAATGTTCAGTGATTTTTTAAACCCTAATATTCAATAGAAAGAAAACTGTCGTCCAGATGGAAGGGAGTTGGGAGAGTTTAGACCCACGACGTTAAATATTAGTAAGTCTGGGTTGTTTTTATGGAGTACCTCTACCAAATACTTGACCATATTTTGACTGTATTAAATAATGACTTTTTTATTTAATGGTTTACACACACACACACACACACACACACACACACACACACACACACACACAGCATTCTGTTGCACTACTACGTTTGATTTTGGTTTTATTTAAAAAA